AACATGTAATTGTTTTTTGGGTTCATACTCACTTATTAGGAGGCACAATTCGGCTGGATTGCTACAAGTCCAGTTATCTCCCTGCAGGCGAGATGCCAAACGTCACGAAAGCCAAAACGGCATAAATATGGCACATTTGCACGCATTTGATACTTAGAGGCATATGTCGAACATTTTATCGCCTTAATGATTGAATATGTCATTGTACAAGCGGCCTCGGTGACTGGCGACCGTCCGGTCTAAAGTCGCCGAAATCTAGGAACGGACCTCCCGGACAATTAGCTGGAAGACCACCCAAGCTGTTACAAACGTAGTGCGCATCCATGTATGCTCAAGAAGCACAGCTGTTCCGACTGTCTCATTGCTTCCAGGCCCATTTTCACGCACTGGGGGGCGCCACTTCGGCCGGATTACTCCTAGTCCAGTAAGGAGCCTCCCTGCAGACGAGATGCCAGACCGGCAAAACTAACACAGACGTAGCACGTGTGCACGCATGTGACACATGGAGACATGTATCCGCCACTCTATCTCCTTGGTGAGTGAGCATGCCAGTGTACAAGCAGTCTCGGTGGCTGGTGGCCGGCCGGTCGGTCGAAAACAGGTATGTTTAAATTGCAGAGATCCTAGTTCTTCAACGAACCTCCTAGCAAATTGGGTGCAAGATCGCCCAAACTGTTACAAACGTAAGCATTTGTGCATGTGTGTGAAAATGATAGGCATGTGCTCATTGTTCTTTGGATTTCGGGACCGAAAGTGTAAAGTTTTCGTTGCCAAAGCGGGTTTGAGCGACATACTGACACGCGGCCGGGGGTCAACCCCCGTTCAGAAACGGACCTCTGCGCAGGCTAGGTGCAAGACCGGCCAGAACGGTACAAACGTACGCATGACATGTGTAGACTGTGTTGGCCATTCTATCGCTTTGGTGATGGAACATGCCATTACGAAAAACATTCAGCATAAAACGGTCTGTTTGCCCTCGGTCCATGAATAGTAAAGGAAACCTTTTCCGGCGATCATATCGAACATCCCCACTAAGATGATTTGTGTAAACTGCACTCAATTCTAAATTGGTTGCGAACCTGCGTTACCACATTAACTTGATATGGAAGTCATTTTTCCCCAATGGTGATATCGGAAGATGAAAACATTGATCCTTGACGTCAGGAAAGCCTATTTAAATGGCTGAAATGCGTGGATAAAGCAGGTGTTGGGGCAATTCAGACCAACATTAAAGGCTGAGCCCTCCGCCAACCTGATTTTAAAAGGTGCCACCCCTGCGGCTAGCCACCGAGCCCGGGTGCCAGGTGGCGGTGACCTTGGCCGAACGTGCCGTCCGGGTGCGCGGTGCGCCGGCGGCGGCGCGTAGGGGACCGGAAGGGCCTCCCCCACGCACTTGTGAGAATACCGGGCGTGGCGAGAAGGGGACGGCTTCCAGCCAACTCGACTAAAGCCAGACGCGGTGATGAAATTTCAGCATGTGGTAACAGGCAGACAGCTTTCTGTATCTGCCGGCAGGGGCGCGATTTTGCAAGGTTAAATCGCAAAAAACTGAAAGTTTTCGCCCCCTCAAAAGTACCATTGTGTTTTACTACGGATTTCGCGTTTTCTTTCTTATTGCTTGTGATGTGGAGGACAAATATCCTCATATGAGTTTTTGGGAGTCTCGCATCTAGTCCGCAGGGAGATGCGTCACTGCATATGTGACGATCCGCGGCCTGGCGGCTGCCTGTCACTCAGAGCACTTTTAGAATAGAAACTTAACAATTCTAGTCCAGAAAGCGATAAAATGGCCGACAATGACCTCCATATGTCACATGCACATGGTTGTGCCGTTTTGGCCGTTTCGCTTTTAGCATCGATTCTTACTGGACTTGGGGCAATCTAGCCGAAGTTGCGCCTTCTAATGCGCGAGCTGCGACTCGTAAGCGAGATGACGGTCGACAAATTTAGCATTTGGATATACGTGTACACGTGCTACGTTTGTACCAGCCTGGCCGGTCCGGCATCTTGGTTGCACGAAGGTCAATGACTGGACCACGCACCTAATGTGCCGGGAGGTCCGTTTTTGGACATGAGGCAAGCATCGAACATCCAGCTACCAACCGCTTCCGCGCCTGCTCGGGTGCACATTGCCGCTGATCGCCGGCCGCGCTGGCAGCTGGCCGTAGCCCGCCACCTGGTGGGCGCCTAGCGCGAAGGAGGTGCCGTGACTAACCTATGCTGTGTAACTGTTGTCCCTTGATAACTAGTCAGCACCAACCCTCCTGCCCTGATGTGTCATGCACGCTATGGAAGTTGGCGACGGTGAATCCTGCTGCATTTTCACCATCCATGGTACAGACTTTCTAGGGAGTATGCAGCGGGGTAAATATATTACAATGAAATCCCCATTCTTCATTGGACTTACCTGCCACTGGCGTGCTGGGTGGCAGTGTCGGGGGTAGTGCAAGGCTATCTAACGGGGTGGTAGGGTATGAGCTGATGAAGGATGAGTATGTAGAAACCGGTGAGTGGGCGCAAGGACCCATGGTCCTCCAACTTGTTTTAGCAGTTAAATACTGAGTTTGGCAAACAATGCTGTTGGAGTTCATTCAATTTATATCAGACTATCCTGTTGAAAAGGATTCACTGCTTACATCTGCCAGGGAACAGTGACATTGACTGGAAGCCTAGATTATAGGGGGGGGGTAGGAAGGGGTGACAATGGATGCATTTTATCATGAAAATACTCCTGCAACTGATTTCCCTACCATTATATTTTTTTTAACAAATGTTTTGAAAATATACATGCCTTTGTAATTTCCATTCAAGGAGATGGTGCGGTTGATTAAGTATCTTTGATGTGTGCATCTTGTAACTCATAATGAGCACCAATGAGAAGCAAGGGTTGTTTCAGAGCAGTTTGGTATATGCCTGGAATGTGATGCCTTGTTTCTTGGCCATTTATTCCTTGGAACATCAGTTAATAATATGCACATGTTTTCCAGGGACGTTTTTCGTGTGGTGTTGGAAGTAATATGCAAAGAATTGGGAGAGGTGCATTTAAGCTGTAAATGCTGGTGGGATGTGATAATACTTTCCAAGACATTTTGAGAAGTGATTTGCTCTAGTGTCAAGATGCTTGAGAGCAGCCCACTGATCAAGGTGATGTGGACAGACCACTCCAGAACCATGGTGGCCAACTTCCAAAAGATTCTCAACTACGAAGAGTTTGCTGATGTACATGTCTGCCACATGAACAGATCCATCTCAGCACACAGGGTGGTGCTGGCCGCCAGCAGCACACTCTTCCGGCAGCGGCTGTGGGCCGTCTCGGCAGTGCCTCTGGCTCTTGAACTGAGCAGTCTGCAGTGTCATGGCCTGCTTCAGTCTAAGGGCCATGGCACCGTGTTTGCGGAGCTGGAGCTTATCCTGCATATCATTTACCGCGGCTGGGCTCAGCTGCGTGAGCGGAGCATAGGCTCCCTGCTGGAGACAGCACGCTGCCTGCAGTTCGACGACGTCTGTGAGCTGCTGCAGCGCACGGTGCAGGTGCGGGGTGCGCCGGCGCCGCCGCTGGTCGCCACGCCCGCCGCGTACGTCGCCGCTGAGCCGGGCCTCGACCAGCTGGCCGGCGGCGAGGTGTCTTTCAGCGCGCTACAGGCGGCCCTGTGTCCCGGGGAGCCATGCCACGCCGTGGCAGAGCTGGGCGTGCACGAGCTGGTGCAGCTGGCGGCGCCGGCCGGCCGCCGCCCGGCCGTCGAGCCGGGCATCGCTCACCAGGACGCTGAGCCGGGCCTCGCCCACCAGGACGCCGAGCCGGGCCTCGCACACCAGGACGTCGAGTCGGGCCTCGCCCACCAAGATGTCGAGTCGGGCCTCTGCCACCAGGACGCCGCCCTGCTGACGGCGCCAGAGCTGTGTCGGCAGCTGGCCGTTTCGTCTCCGCCCGTTCCGCCGCCCGTCCCGCCGCCCGCGCCCGACCCGGCGTCCGATCCGGCGCTGGACCCGGCGTCCGGTCCGGCGCTGGACCCGGCGCCCGATCCGCGCTCAGAGCCAGCGGGTCAGCCGGGCCCGCTGCCACCGCCGCCGCCGCTGCCACTGCCGCCGCCCGAGCAGGCGGGGCCGCTGCCGCAGGAGGGAGGGGCGCCGGCTGCCGGCCACGATGGCGCGCCGCTGCTGCGCGTGCGCACGCAGTTTGAGTTGCACTGTCCCTGGGGCGTGGGCATGGAAATGGCTGGACGTGGCCGACACGAGCCCGAACCAGGTGAGAGCACCGGGAACGGGGCGCCAATGATGAATGTTGCGCGCTCTCTAGCCGCGCGCGTGCGTATGTGCGTACGTGCGCGCGTGCGTGTGCGGTGAGACGCTCCGCAATTTCATGAACAGCGAGTTATCTTTCATTGACTTGCCATGGAATCCATTCATTTGCTTCGTCGCTGCCGATTGGCCAATAGCCGAGGGCTCCTATTTAACTTCCCCACCCTTTTCAGACTTTCCAATGATGTGCCAGTCCCAGGGTGCCGTACTGTGCGTTTAGTTGGACGTTTTACATAAAGTATATCAGGCTTTTGAAGACAGGCATGCGACATGAAACCCAAAAATCAAGGATTAGTTTGGGGAGTTTTTCAATAACATCGGCATGGCAGTGAGAAGCTTGTTGACAACCCCATGTATACTCTTTGTTCACAAGTATTCTTCTTACCCCACGGGTCCGTTTTGCTTCACTGACTGGACGACAGGCTTTGTCAGCCCGGTCTGAACGTCTTGCACAGCAATGACATGTCACTCGGTCGAACCGAATGTTTACGGTGTGTTACGTGGAACGCTGACGACCGCGCGCTGTCGTTTCTGACCCTCTACAATTGCGGCGGCAGCGTCGGGCGGGTGGCCCACGATGCTGATGCCGGAGCCGCCGGCAGCGGCGCCGCTGCCGGCGCGGCCGCCGCGGTCGGCGTCACCGCCTCCGGCGCCGCTCGCGCTGTCGCCCCCGCCGCCCACGCCGCCGGCGGGCGCCGGGTTCGGCCTCGACGACGAGCAGGCGCTGATCGAGAGCTACGGTCTGCCACCCACCACGCCTGAGACGCTGGCGCACTTCAACGAGAACGACTTCAGCGGTCTGACCGAGGAAGAAAAGTCGCCGATGGCGGCCAAGCCGCCGCGCGTGCGTCGTCTTCGCCGTCGCGTGACGCGCGTCCGACAGCGGTGAGATGGCGCGACGCCGGTGTGCCGGGTTATGACTGATGTATCGTTCTTAGCGAAATGAATGAGGATAAAACAAGCTCTTGTGCACAACAGAATGCTTTAATGCGATCATGCGGAGATAGGTGCCGAGCCGTCGCATGTGTCGTGTGCCGCGTGCCGTGTGTCGCGTGCCGTGTGCCGTGAGTCGTGTGCCGTGAGTCGTGTGCCGTGAGTCGCGTGCCGTGTGTCGTGTGTCTTGTGTTGTGTGCCGTGTGCCGTGAGTCGTGTGCCGCGTGCCGTGTGTCGTGTGTCGTGAGTCGTGTGCCGTGTGCCGTGAGTCGTGTGCCGTGTGTCGTGTGTCTTGTGTTGTGTGCTGTGTGTTGTGTGCCGTGAGTCGTGTGCCGTGTGTCGTGTGTCTTGTGTTGTGTGCTGTGTGTTGTGTGCCGTGTGCCGTGTGCCGTGTGTCGTGTGTCTTGTGTTGTGTGTTGTGTGCCGTGAGTCGTGTGCCGTGTGCCGTGAGTCGTGTGCCGTGTGTCGTGTGTCTTGTGTTGTGTGCTGTGTGTTGTGTGCCGTGTGCCGTGTGTCGTGTGTCTTGTGTTGTGTGCCTTGTGCCGTGAGGCGTGTGCCGTGTGCCGTGAGTCGTGTGCCGTGTGCCGTGAGTCGTGTGCCGTGAGTCGTGTGCCGTGTGTCGTGTGTCTTGTGTTGTGTGCTGTGTGCCGTGTGCCGTGCGCCGTGTGCCGCGCGCCGCCACCGGCCATGGCCATCGACGTTCGCCCTGTTGACGGGCACTGTCTTCGCTGCCGCAGCAAGCTGCCAGAGCTGATCTCGCTGGACCAGTCCACCGTGTGTCAGGTGTGCCACCGGGACCTGGCGCGCATGAGCGCCCTGCAGCGCCACCTGGCGTCGGCTCACCCGGATCGTACCGCCGCCGGCGAGGAGGCCGACGAGCGGCCGCCGCCGTCGACGGTCGACGCCAGCGCCATCTCGGACCCACGCGACACGTGCGCCAGTTTGCTGCAGTTCCGGCCTCGGCTGAGCGCAGCCGGGCCCGGCCAGAGCAGCGCCAACGAGGAGCCGCCGACGTCGCCGATGCCGCCCCCGCTGCCGCCGCCGCCCCCGCCGCCCCCGCCGCCACCGTCGCTGCCGCTGGTAGAGGCCGCGGTTGGGGTTCCAGAGACGGGTGTGGAGGTGCCAGCGCCGGCGCCGGCGCCGGCGTTGGTAGAGACGTCGCAGTGCGGGGATCTGAAGTGTGAGTGACGATTCGTCTTGCTCCGGCCAGGACAGGGGTGCGGCCACGGCCAACGTCTCCGCTCATGCCGCTTTCGGCGATGGGTGTTGTGAAGGCGGTGATGCAGATTTCTTTGCCTTGCCAGTGTTTTCGTCTCTGCCCGATGTCCGCATGGTATTGGGCTCTCCCTACCCATGTCATTCACCGCGGCCGCTGGTGGGCGGCCGACCACGCGGGGCTGTCGTCTGACGTCTGCGGTGGCTGTGCGGCTGCAGGCTCAGAGTGCAGCTTCGTGGCGGCGTCCGACGAGCTGCTGCGGGACCACCAGCTGCGACCGCATCTGCCGCACGTGGCCTGTCCGTACTGCGACCTCAAGTTCGGACAGGCGGCCGCCCTGTACCGACACGTGCGCACCGCTCACCCCGGGCTGCCCGACAAGCCGTCCCAGGTCAGCGCCTGCGCCTCACGGGCCCGTCCAACGGCCTGTGCCGTCTCCCACCGATCGGTGTGTCCTGGAGATCCTGTGTATGTTAGGCGGGACGCGTGCGGGATATTGGAGTTCAAGGCAGAAGGTCATGCCGAGATTCGGGCGGGCCCAAGACAAGTTAGTTTTTTTGGTGGGGGATTGGGGAGGCCGAGTGACCAACGCGACATTGATTTCTTTGGCCACACTGCCGTAAAGTGAGGCATGCGCAGACGTTACCTGTGCCATGTGTGATAATAATGCATTAACTCAGCAGAAACCTTGCTTTTCAAGTGTAGTAACGGACATCGTGTACAGTTTGTCGCAGGAATATTTTTGCAAGATTTTCTGAAGTATTGTTAAGTAAGGAGAATGCGCGGGCTATCCATGAGACGTCCTGTACTGTGTTTGTATTATCCCAGGTTGCCGCGGCCCTGGGCCGATAAATGCCGGGCCCGGGTTTGTTCCGTGTGGTGGCGGCCTGTCGCCGCTTGTTTATGTTCCGCTTTCTATGTCAGTCAGGCTGGAACACGGTATATGTTGGTGCTGCTGCAATGCTGCTGGAAAGTCCTTGTCAGCCTGCCCCGGTTCGGGCGCGTTCTCTGCCCCACGGCGTGGGCTCCGGCCGCGCCGCCGGACGCCGAGCCACTGACGCTGCGTCCCGTGTCCGTCAGTGTCACCTGTGCAAATACAGCAGCGGCCGTCCGAGCCAGGTGCGTCGCCACCTCCGGGACGTGCACGGCCAGGACGACCAGGGCCAGCCGCTGCCGCTCGACCGCCGCTGCCCGCACTGCGAGTTCACCACCTGCAGCGCGCTCAAGCTCAGGGTAACTGCGCGCGCGCTGTTCCGCGAAGGCCAGGGCAGGGTGGCGGGGCAGTGCTCCCTGCAGCACACTCGAACTCGTGCCATGTGTGCTGTCTGAGCTCGAAATCACGGGTGCAGACATTTTTAAAGACAGCTCACGTGGTATACGCTGTTTACATACACTAGTGTTGTCTCAGCATAAGGTTGTCTAGCATTCTGTGACGAACCACGATGAAGTGGGATATTCGCAGTTACGTGGCTTCAGGCTTGGTGGGTCGGCAGCTAGCCAGTGTCCTTTTTATTGATGTGGGCCTGATATGGGTGGAATCGTCTTTTTAACATTACACGCGATGGCTGCCCACTTCTATTATCACATCGCGCGTGCTATGAAATCGACAAGGTGCTAACGGTGGATCGTTCCGCTTGGCTGATCCGCTTGGCCCGCGCCTGAAGAGTGTGTCAGGTCACCGTGATCCTGCTGCGGTGTGACTAGTGGTTTTCTGAGAGCATCGTGCGCCTCCACAGATACACGTGCGCCGTCGGCACACGGAGGACAAGCAGTTCAAGTGCTCCGAGTGTCCTTACAGCACGATAGATAAGCATGCCCTAGTCAAGCATGTCCGTATTAAGCACACGGACTTCAGGCCTTTTCGCTGCGAGATATGTGACTTCAGGTCAGTGCGCAGGATAATGTTCGGATCTACAATGTGACGGAAGTGATGTACCCCGCAGTAATATCACCGTAATGCAACCCCGAGGCGGCAGATATGCACCATGCTACCGGATACCTGAAGTGCCCGTCACATCCCTACTTACGCCAACGTTGTGACGTTGTCTTGGATCTCTCCGCCCTGAGGCTTTTTGATCTTCCCGTTCGCTACCGCATCTCGACCCATTCGTAAAGGGAACTGAGCCCCAGCGGTCATGTCGGTATTCACGATCCAGCGTCTTTGGGCGTCTTTGAGCAAACCGTTTTTTTTGTGGCGGTCGTTGCTCCCCGTGCCCCACCTGACGCCGCTGCTCCCGTGCCTCACTTGACGTCGCTGCTCCCCGTGTCCCGTCTGACGCCGCTGCTCCCCGTGCCCCGCCTGACGCCGCTTCTGCCCGTGCCTCACCTGACGCTGCTGCTGCCCGTGTCCCGTCTGACGCCGCCGCTGCCCGCCCCGCAGGACGTCGACGCTGTCGCGGATCTCGCGCCACCGGCGCTCGCACACCAAGGAGCGGCCGCACGTGTGCGCCGCTTGCGGTCAGTCGTACGCCGACCGGCGCCGGCTGCTGGAGCACTGCCGGCGTCGGCACGACCCGGCCGGCGCCGAGCGGCGTCCGTTCGTCTGCCACCGCTGCGGCGCCGCCTTCGCACGCCGCGACAACATGCTCTCGCACATCGCCAGCAAACACCCCGAGCCACCGGCCGCGGTGTGAGCGGCACGGGCGCGTGTGATGAACAGCGGGCGCGGCCGTCCGCGGCGTGAGCGGCGCAGGCGCGTGTGATGGGCAGCCGGCGCAGCCGGCCGCTGTGTGAGAGGCACGGGCGCGTGTGATGGGCAGCGGGCGCGGCCGTCTGCGGCGTGAACGGCACAGGCGCGTGTGATGGGTAGTGGGCGCGGCCGTCTGCGGCGTGAACGGCACAGGCGTGTATGATGGGCAGCGGGCGCGGCCGTCCGCGGCGTGAGCGGCACGGGTGCGTGTGATGGACAGCGGGCGCAGCCGGCCGCTGTGTGAGCGGCACAGGCGCGTGTGATGGACAGCGGGCGCGGCCGTCTGCAGCGTGAGCGGCACAGGCGCGTGTGATGGGCGGCGGGCGCAGCCGGCCGCTGTGTGAGAGGCACGGGCGCGTGTGATGGGCAGCGGGCGCGGCCGTCTGCAGCGTGAGCGGCACAGGCGCGTGTGATGGGCGGCGGGCGCAGCCGGCCGCTGTGTGAGAGGCACGGGCGCGTGGGATTGGCAGCGGGCGCGGCCGGCCGCTGTGTGAGAGGCACGGGCGCGTGGGATTGGCAGCGGGCGCGGCCGGCCGCTGTGTGAGAGGCACGGGCGCGTGGGATTGGCAGCGGGCGCGGCCGGCCGCTGTGGAGCTGCTCGACGGCGCGGAGTAGCTCGGTCAAGCTTTAATGGAGACGAGTAGAGTGATCTCTTGTTTGCGTCCGTGCTGACATGCGAGCCTCTTTCTCGGAATTGGGTGACATTAAGAGGTGTAGCTGGGTGTACCTGATTGGGCTAACCCGCTGTCACCTTGCCGCAAGCATTCAAAGAAGCTGTCAAGCTTCGTTTGTTAGTGATGGAGTTTTCTGTTTGTTATATGCGATGTCCTGTAACGGGCTGGGATTTTCCTTCCATAAATTTTGTATTGTTGCAGGCGTCTGGATCATATTGTATGCACACTAGCATGGCTAGCAATGGCAGTTAGCAGCTCATCACGGGTAGGTGAGTTGACCTCCCCACCTACTTCACGACTCATGGAGTTCACTCACATATTACTTTTAGTGGCAACATTGACACCGTGGCGGGGAGTCACTGAAGGTTGGGGTATGTGGAGTAGTCCCTTCCCTGTTCCAGCAAATCGGACTGCCCTTTCCGTGGAGCGCGAAGTGGCCCCACGACAGGCTATGCGAGGGGAAACATCTTCGCGCCTGTGGTCCGCAAAAGGCTCCTGTGGATACGGGAGAGCCGTTCGCCGCACTTGTGGTCGTTAGTCTGGTCCTGCGTGTGACTCCAGGAAATGAGAGCATTTAGTTTGACGGTCATGCGTTTCGGCGTGTCTGAGTACGTTGCCTGGAGCAGTACCCCCGTGGCGTTGAAGTGCACGTGGGATAGAGGTTGAAGGTTCTGACTTTTTATATTTACTAGGAACAGAATGAGCATCTGTTCAAATTTCCGCTCCTACTTATTAAAGCTCAGACTTACAATCTGACGGCCGCAAAGCAAGCTACTGACTGTCGAGAACGTGGCATTACCACCGCCACCCGAAGCTGGAAGCAATATGGACACTACCCGCCAAAGGGAAATCCTGGATGAGACCAGACGCCGCGGAGGGTGATTTTGGGCTACCTTCTACCTTCTGTAGCGAATCGGTGTTTTTGTTGTGTTACGCTCAAAACCTGGCATAGCGTCCGAACCAAGGGGATCCAAAAGGACTAGAGGCTTGAGCTCCGAACTTGCCGAAAATTTAGCGTCCTGAGCGTTGATCATATCTGGTAACCAAAAATGTATATCAGACCTAGCAACACGGAAGAACTTTTGTTGACCCTGGTAGCGTCATAGCAGAAATTACACGACGTTCTCAGCGGCGTTTTTGCTCTGCATGGTTTAAATGGTTTCAACCCCATACTATTTTCACTAATGTTTCGTCACCAAAGCTTCCGCAGCACTGAATGATTGTATTTAGCTCCTAAAAACCTGCAGCCCTAGTATTCTGCGGCGGCAGATATGCGAAACAATATATGTTCAGCAAGCTAATAGGTATCTGGCACATACGGCCTTAATTTGGCCTGCAACAACGGTGAAAGATCGTACATCCCCTGAAAGCTGTGTTTTTGGATAGCGGTGTGATACCGCTACGTGCATTTCTTTCAACCTTGTTGTATGTCGACGAAAGTGAAGCCTTCATCTGACGTGTTTTGTTTGCGCGGCGCTGAATGGGGCGATCGGGAATATAACGTGATGGTATTCATTGAACTTAGGAGGCGGGGCGTGGATAGTTGACAACTGTCTGGCATTTGGTCTGCGGTTGACGTCGGCTGTGTGGGTGGGTGGCTTGTGTGTTGTAAGAGACTGCCAGTGATGGTCAGGTTTGGGTAGGCGATTCGACTGTGATTGAGATAATGCAGGCTTCTGGTGAGACGTCTGCACGGGACAACAGAAACGCATTTTGGAAGAAGAATACCAAGAATGTGCCTGGCAGGTTTGTGTTCTGTAGTATTTCTGTACTCTGTAATTTTCTATAATATTTTTATGAGTTTTTTTTTTGCTGACAATCCGCATTTTGAGGCCCCCTTTGGTTTGTCCAGACTAGGTATGCTGCAGTTAATTATGCAGCATGTGCAAAGTTTGGTAATCACGAAGTTGTCTTACCATCTATTGCGATTGGGGTTGCCTTCAGGCTTTGTGTGAGAGCCCCGCTAGTTGAGCAGTGATGCCAACACTCAACTAGTGGGGTGAGCATTGACATCACTGCTCAACTAGGGAGGCTGGGGTTGGGTCAGGGGTAAGTCTGCCTCTATAAATGTTAATGGCATGTCTTTTGAAGTATTTTTATTTGAAATGACCTTTGTGCAATAATGATTCCTTTACACATTGGCTCTTTGCATCAAAACTGGAATCAACCAGGCTCCATGCTCTCATTAGTTGAATTTACAGCTTGCATGTGCTGAAATTGTTCCTGTACCTGTTCAGCGTAACATGCATTTTTACAGTTTGGACAGGTGGCATCTACCTTACCAACTTAATGGAGTGGTTAACATTAAGCCCACAGCAGTGCATGCAGAGAAAGAAATAAAAAATCAGATTTCCCCCAGTTCACAGAAGTTTATCAGCATGGATCACCACTAACCATTTTCCCCTCATTTCCCTCAGCATCCACTGAGGACGAGTTTGTGCTGGTTCTTTGAATGGATTGGATTGGATTCACTTTCCACTTTCTCTTTTCAGTGTCATACTATGAGTTCCAATCCTATTCAGGGTACAGTTGGATTTATGAAGAATACAACTGTGTAAGATGTCATATATGTCATGGGAAGGTTTCATTGCCATATTTTTAGGATTATAGCTGTTGGTTTAAACATAAGCATATACACATGAAGGCAATCTGTCTTCATAACTTATATTGTGCTTTTAAAGGCTAAAGACATTCTTTACAAACTGGTAACTATTGAACAATCCCTGAATCCTAATTTTCAGTGTTGCTTATGTATATTTTGGGTTATCTTTTATTTTATTATTTTGTTACTTATCTATGTATTATTTAGATATTATGATATATTCAGGGTATAAGCTATTAAATCTGAAAGATGATTGTTGTTTGGCTTTTTGGTATAGAGATATGGTAATCATTTTCATGGAAGGCTTTTGTAATGAAACAAATTGGTTGGATGATACTCTTGTTCTGTTAGCCATGAAGCCTGCAAGCCAGCATGTATGTGAAAGGATACTGGGACAGTTTGATTTGTTGATGTTTTGGAAACACAACTACCTTAAGATCTCATTAAGATGTGGTGTTGTGTCCTGAAGGCGCCATTCTCAGGGTTACCTGGAACGGCATTGGTTGTCATTTGTGAGCAGCTATTTTGGTAAAAGATATGGGAGCACAGCTAGGGTAGACCAATATTTTTGTGTGCACATGTATGTAATTACTTCACAATCAGTTTATGCAGAAAATTGTATGATTCCTTTTAGAGAGCATTTTATCTCACAACTTTTCTCACACATGCTGCATTCAGTATGAAGTCTGTTTATGGAGCTCAACATCCTCCTATCACATCTGATTGGTCCCCACAGTAAGTCAGCATACAGTGTGGTGCTTCAACACCTGCTTATTAATTATGGATATCAAGTATGGTAAAGTTTGCATGGTCTGTCATTAAAGTTATGATGGTATTTGCATGCCTCTATCATGTGGCATACCATGCTCAAAATTGCTCATTGTGGCATCTTAACATCATTATTGCTGGTGCATGTGGGTGTTACAGTGCACACAATGTGGCATGTCTGCACAGGGCATGATAACCATGTTAACAAGAGCATAATTAACATGAGTGTTAGCATGTGTCTTAGAATATTGAGATGATCATTACTGTGGTTGGATATGTTTATTTAATATTTATTCTAACCATTAACTCCTGCATGACTTGTTCAGAGGTTTTGCTGCTCAGCAATCTTATAGATATGCTAGTTTTGTGAGACCTGCAGGTGTTTTACAGCACCAACCAGTAGCTGAGCTACAAGCATCTGAAAATGATGCCCCATGTCATGTGCTGTCAGGCATGGGGTCCTCCCTGTGGTAAGTAACTGACCAATCTGCTCTCCGCAGAGCCAGTCCTCGCCATGCGTCCTCCGAGACCGTGTCGGCGGCGAACTTCCAAGACTTCCAGCAGTCGGTGGACGACGCCTGGGACGACGGCGATGACGAGTTCTGCATCATCTCGGGCAAAATCCAGAAAGGCGAGTGGTCCGCGACTGCTCGGAGTGAACTGAGTGCATGTGTCTGATTAAGGACGAGCGCGGAGAGTCGGGTATGGGGCTAGCGTAACGCTGTGGGGCAGACTTATTCAGTGGATGGTTTGCCGTCATGACGAACATGTTTGGTCGGGTCGCCTGAGGGCGGGAGAGGGGCTTCTGATACAGATGCTAACAGGTGCTCCTTATCACTGACTGATCACGAACCAACAACAATGCTGCAGATACGGTGATTCGTTTCCATGCAGCATACGTCAACACATGCGTGATGCTGCTTTCTGATGCAACATTCCGTGGATATTAGGACAATCGATAGTTTCTTGCGTCAGTCGAGTCCCGTCCTCGCCGCCACGAGACATTATCTCACCCACGCAGCCATTACTGCGCTGAGACGTTAGTCCCCAGCGACGGCTCATCAAAGGACACGCCATTAGTGCATGTCTGGGTTCGGGTCGGCGCACCCATGTCGAATGTGGGAGGGGGGGGGGGGGGGGAGGCGGGGAGCTCCGCTGAGGCCCTCCCCGAGCGGATGCCGGGGTTATGGTCCGGTCCTGCGCTCGGCTTGTCTGTCAGAGCGAATGACCTGCTCTCTTGGTCAGATAACCCCGCCGAACAAGTGTTGCTCTGAGGTGGCTGGCTTGGCAACGGTAATATTCGCATTTCTTTGTCCTGGCCATTGCTAACACAGCCAGGTCCGCTGGTTGATACCTGCGAGCTCGCCCATGATTATCGGGATGTCGTCACGGACCTCAATGTCTAAATGATCTGCCGGTGACTCCTCGGATCACGCCTGTTCGCGAGCTTGTAATACGAATGCACTTCCAGACCCGCGATACGCGAAACACATTGTTTTCGGTGCTCACTACGACCGACCGGCTCGGCGCCGGCCGCGCAGCTCGCTCTGCTCCGTGACCGGCTTTTGATATCCCGCATGCCATCTGTATTAGCGGTCACGACCAGCAGCCGGCTCCCACCGGCCGGCCGGCAGACCGCACAGCCACCGACTCCCGTATGCCCACCGCCGCCGCGGCCGCCTCACCCGACCGCGGACGGTTGGGGGGCTGCCGCCGGCGTCACGTGATCGCCCGCCGGCGGCCGCAGAAGGTCGCGCTGGCGGGTCGGTGGGCGAAAAGCCCGCCTCGCAGCAGCCCCGATGGGGACGGACTGCTCGGACAGCTGCTGTGCATATTTCAGGGTGGTGGTCGGTCTGGTCGGAGACACCCATCAGCTATGGATTGGGTTTGAAACAGCATCGGTGCACGTAGCGAAGTTGCGCGTAGTTTTTCCTCCCCACAGGCAGGTGCGGAAAGTGGTGTCGCTTGACTTGTGGCCTGCAAAAACGTTAACCAGTCCACCGCATAGTGTGTTACGAGTGCCGCCCCCATAGCCCCGAGCGACTCCAACAGCCCGCCCCAATAGCACCGAGCGACTCCAACAGTCCGCCCCAATAGCTCCGAGCGACTCCAACAGCCCGCCCCAATAGCCCCGAGCGACTCCAACAGCCCGCCCCAGTGGCCCCGAGCGACTCCAACAGCCCGCCCCATTGACCCCGAGCGACTCCAACAGCCCGCCCCAACGGCCCCGAGCGACTCCAACAGTCCGCCCCCATGGCTCCGAGCGACTCCAACAGCCCGCGCCGCTTCGGAGAACCGATACAAGCTCTGCCGTAATCCCGCTTCTGCCGGTTTTGTCACGGTCGTGCGGCGGATGTGACCCACGTGTGACGCTGCCCGGTGTGCTGCAGACGTCCAGATCTCGGCCAACATCGCCCAGTCGACGGCGCTCAGCGTGATCCGGTCCCACCGGTCTGGCGGCGGCGGCGGGAGACCCCCCGCCCCGCCCAACACCGACAGGTGGGGAGGACATACCGAGCAGCTCGGCCCATGCCGGCTGCGCTATGGATGGTGCAGAATGTGCCTTGGTAAGGTGTGGTGTATGCGCCACGTGTTTTATTGCGGGTCAATGATTAGCACCTGCGATGTGTGTGTTAGCAGGTCTGCTAAAGGTCGTAGGTATCTAGCAATGCATTATTGCGGTGTGGTTTGCTCTGACATGTGGATCAGTAGACGCTGGGTTGAATGGCAGCGACGCTTTCCTCGGAATGGTCTCACAATATCCTTTCCAGCGCCCGTTTTTCCGCTAATAAAGAAGTGACATTCCTTTTGTTTGCTAACAAAAGGAAAAACACGTTGTGAAACGGCTTTAGTGTCGAAGCGAGTCACCTACACGTTTTTGCTGTTCAGCCATCGCCATTTCCGTCGGTTGTCGCAACTGTGCTCTTTTTCCGGCCATCGCCCGTTTGTTTTGGTTTCGATTGATCTTGCGATGTGTGCCCGCCCAGTTGTCACGACGGCCGGGGTCGCACACCTGTTGTTGAGTGACCGCTGTGTAACGGGCCCCGCTCTGGGGACACCCAGTCACGCGGTGTGTGCAGCTGGCCACCCCCATGGGGCGGGGGCGGGTCACAGCTGCGTCCCGTCACCCGCCGCGCGGCCGAGCGGCGTGGTCGCCCTGCGGTCGCCCGCTGCCGCCGTGGCATCGGATCTACAGTCGCGTACGCGTCGCGGTGTCGGGTCCGTGGCCTGGGTCTGCGGGCGGTCAGAACGGTCCGGTGCGGTGCGTCGGACACGAGTGTCGGGTGTCCGCAGCCCCCGAGGAACGGTCGCTCTGCGGTGCCCGCGAGGGCTCGGTGCCTGTCGAGGCGCAGTTGGGGCGCGTCGTGACGCCGCGGGGGCGCGTCGTGACGCTGCGGGGCGCTTCGTGACGCCGCCGACTGGCCCCCGACGGGTCCGGGCCGTGGCACCATCGCTCGGGGACCCGCGCGCGGTCGAGATCTACCGTCTTGCCTCGGACTCTGCCGCCCGGGCACGGCCCGCTCAAGCGTCTGTTGCGCAACCCACCGCCGCGCTCCAGAGCACCGACCAGCTGCTCGCGGCCGTCAGCCGTCGGTAGCCGTCGCTGTCTCCTGTGCCGAGTAGCTGTCCCGCCCAGCCGGGCTAGCTCGGCTTGCGGCCCGGGGCGCCGCCCATGTTCTACAGGGACTGCCTGCGCCTTTTCAGCGAGCCGCCGCCGCCGCCGCCAGCTGCGGCGAGACCCTGCAAGACGGAGGTCTCGGAGGCCGGCAAGGCTGAGGCCATGATCCGGCTGGCCGCCCAGCGTGAGTAGGGCGGGCGGCGGCCATGCCGTGGCGTGTGCCGTGCGTGACGGGCGGCGGTGGATCGAATATTGACGGGGATTGGCTGAGACCCGGAGCGAGTTGTCCGGTAATGACCGGCTGTGCTGGTTCGCTACAATGCTGGGTGTGAGCGGGGGTGGTGTCTACATTCACTGAAACGCAGTGCAGCAATGTTGGCCTGGTAGCCGGGTTTAAAAGTGGGTGCAAAGGCCGCCGGGCGGCTAAGCTATGGACGTTTGTGACCGACTGGCAGTATTTGAGAGCAAACGCTCGGTCAGCTTTGCTCCTTCGGATTGCTCCTCGTCCGTGCCATTGTCCCGTTATCGTGACATCACCGTAGCCCCAGCTCGGCTGCACTGCCGACGAGCGCGCCGGCTGACGTCTCTGTCGTGGGGGGGGGGGGGGGGGGGAGCTGTGAGCGGTGCATAACCGTCGTGTGTGTGTGCGGCGCCAGGGCCGTCGTCGGCGGAGGGCCAGCCGGCCGGCCTGATGAACCCGTCCAGCTGTCCCCGGATGCCGGGCCACCCGCAGCCGCTGCGGCCCGGCGCGGTGCTCCGGCAGCCGCCCGTCCGCTACCTGCAGGACAAGGCCAACGCAGGTAGGGCGCGCGATGCCAGCGGCGGCCGGCGAGCCGAGGCGGGGAACGACGCTGGGGAGTGAGCCCGGTTGAACGCTGATGTGGTGTATGCGTGGGAGGGGTATCAGCAGGCCGAAGCAAGAGGTAGCAACGCTCCTCGTTTGGCCATTGATGCATTAGTAAGGCGTCATGAATGCGTTTGCAAACCTTGGCGGCATGCAAACTCAGGTACTAAGGTCTGCTGTTAAATGCCCTTCATTATTCACTTTTTGGGTGTCATCGTGCTTTTTCACTTTGTGCACCATTACCACCGCCCGATTCGTGTCGTGTCCTGGCATTTGACTCGTTCTTCACCCCCTCAATGGAGCGCTATCAGTTGTCCAAGGCTGGCCGTGATTCTGGTGAGGGTGTGCGTGCAGCCTTCAATAGTGCCGCCTGGCTCCTCAGGCCTGGACCGCGAGGCGGCCCGCTTGGTCAAGGTGCGCTCGGCCATCGACAGCGGCGCCGCCTCGCTGGATGAGCTGCGCAAGCTATGCTGGGGCGGCGTGCCGGCCGCGGCGCGCGCCGTCGCCTGGCGCCTCCTCTCCGGCTACCTGCCGCTGCCGCTGGAGCGGCGCCAGCCCACCATGCAACGCAAGCGCGACGAGTACTGGAGCTTCGTGCACCAGTACTACGACACGCGCCACGACGACATTCATCAGGATACGTACCGACAGGTGCGGACCCGCGCCCGGGAAGGAGGGGGGGGGGGGGGGCGCTGAGGCTGTCCCGGCGTGCGACTGCGCAGCGGTAGTCGGTTGGACGCGCGTGGTGACTGGCTTGATGACTGAGATGACTGATGACTGGCTTGATGGCAGCGGTGGACATCTGGACAGAGCATAGATGAGTCTCGAATAACGTGATTAACGGATAAAGTATACTGTGATAAAGTTACCGTGAATAACATTCAGGGATGCATAAGCACTTTGCAATCCAATTTTAGTGTCGTAAAGCACGCGCGGCGTGGTCTCTAATGGGATGCGACGTAGCATAGGTTGTTCTGTGAGTGCTGCGTGCGTGATGTGTTGCCGTGGTGACTTCTGATGCGCTGCAACCGTCCTCACGGCCCTCACGGGATCCGTGTGTGGGACGCGTGGCAGCTTGTCGCTCTCCGACCTGCGGCTGTCTCTCTGCCGCCTGACGCCGTGTCGCTCTGCCACCTGACGCCGTGTCACTGCCGCCTGACGCCGTGTCACTGCCACCTGACGCCGTGTCACTGCCGCCTGACGCCGTGTCGTTCTGCCGCCTGACGCCGTGTCACTGCCGCCTGACGCCGTGTCACTGCCACCTGACGCTGTGTCACTGCCACCTGACGCCGTGTCACTGCCACCTGACGCCGTGTCACTGCCACCTGACGCCGTGTCGTTCTGCCGCCTGACGCCGTGTCACTGCCACCTGACGCCGTGTCACTGCCGCCTGACGCCGTGTCGTTCTGCCGCCTGACGCCGTGTCACTGCCACCTGACGCCGTGTCACTGCCGCCTGACGCCGTGTCGTTCTGCCGCCTGACGCCGTGTCACTGCCACCTGACGCCGTGTCACTGCCGCCTGACGCCGTGTCGTTCTGCCGCCTGACGCCGTGTCACTGCCACCTGAGGCCGTGTCGTTCTGCCGCTTGACGCCGTGTCACTGCCGCCTGAGGCCGTGTCACTACCACCTGACGCCGTGTCACTGCCACCTGAGGCCGTGTCGTTCTGCCGCTTGACGCCGTGTCACTGCCGCCTGAGGCCGTGTCACTACCACCTGACGCCGTGTCACTGCCGCCTGACGCCGTGTTGCCCCGTGCCGGCAGATCCACATCGACATTCCGCGGATGTCGCCGCTGATCCCGCTGTTCCAGCAGCAGTGCGTGCAGGAGATGTTCGAGCGCGTGCTGTACATCTGGGCCATCCGGCACCCGGCCTCCGGCTACGTGCAGGGTGTCAACGACCTGGTCACGCCCTACTTCATCGTCTTCCTGCAGGAGGTGTTGCCACCCGGTGAGCCGGCGGGACCGTGCCGCCACTGGCCCGGGAGCGTGTCCGGGCTGCGGGGGTGACCGGCTGCGAGCCGACTGGCTGGATCCAGCGCTGGCCGGCCGGTGTATCGGTCTTGCACGCGGTCGGTCGGCTGGACTCAGGCAGCGGCGCAGGTGGCTAGCAGGCCCATGCGCGACGGCGTGGTGCAGACTTTGTCTTAGTCGCGGGCAGAGGGGATATTCCTTGACTAATGCGTTCTGTTGGCAGTTAACAGTGCTGCTACCCACCTCACATTTATGTTGGTGTGCTGTGTGAGAAAGGATGCGTAAATGGTGCCGTTACTCAGAAAATTGACGTACAATTGGGACAGTTGTAAGTGTGCGTTCAAGCACCTTTGCTTCCGTTTAATTAATACCAACAAACTCGAGCTTTCCATTTCCTAGAGGCTCCTGCTTTCTTCATGCGAAACAATGGCTGACAGAGTGCGCCTACCATGCGTGTATGTCAACTGTCCATCTATCCTTCAGTACCCCGCGAGGTTCCTTCACTGGGGGCCTCCCGTTCCGCGCTGTTGACGCGCTGCGTGCCCCGCCGGCCAGGTGCCGACATCGACAGCTATGACGTGTCGTCGCTGAGCGAGCCGGAGCGGCGCGTCATCGAAGCCGACTCGTTCTGGTCCATGTCGCTGCTACTGGACGGCATCCAGGACAACTATACGTTCGCCCAACCGGGCATCCAGACCAAGGTCACCCAGCTGAAGGAGCTGGTGCAGCGGATAGACGGTGAGCCCGGTTGGACGGACGTTGGCACTGACTGGAGGGCGGTGGGCGTCGGAGTAGGGTGTGGGGACGTTCTTTCTGTCGGGGCAGCAGTCCGCGGCCGCTGGACTGAAACTGTCCACGGGCGTAAAGAGCTCGTTCGCCGGGCTGTATGGGCTATAAGGGCCTTCCATCTAACTGGGATCTGGCGGTGGTGGTATGACTGGGAGCAGTGGCAGGGCGGCCGTCGCCACACCTGACCGGCACAGCGCCTTGCCGCCATCTCGTGCCAGCTGCCCACCTCCTCTCTCCCCCTCCACACCGGACGTCACTCCCTCATCGGACGCGCCCGTCTCACGTCTCGTGGCGGTCGCCTGTCCCGCAGCGCCCCTGGACGCCCACATCGCGCGCCAAGGCATCGACTACCTGCAGTTCGCGTTCCGCTGGATGAACAACCTGCTGATGCGCGAGCTGCCTCTCCACTGCACCATCCGGCTGTGGGACACGTACCTGTCCGAGGCTGACGGCTTCGCCAGCTTCCACCTGTACGTGTGCGCCGCCTTCCTCACCTGGTGGAGCCGCCGGCTCATGCAGGAGAAGGACTTCCAGGTGAGCACCACCGCGGCGGAGGCGTGCAGAGGCCAGAAGCATGGAGGGTCTGAGTCGGACACATGGAGCGCCAGCGAGGGTGTGGGGATGGTCGCGTGTCTGCGGGTTGAGTTCGCTTCTGTTAAGCCATTTCCGGACCCGCTAATGCATTGGATGCTGTTTTTATGATTGACTTACAGTTTGTGCTCAGTTCATTTTAAAAGAGGAGCGTTTTGGGGTTGAAGTCGCCAGTTGCCATGCTTGAATTCGATTATCCTTCCGGTTTACAATCCTGATGCCGCTTCGGATATCTAGATTAATTTCTCTTTGCTCGTACAATGGTGGCAGTCCTCAACAACTGTTTTAACTTTGAAAATGACTCGTGACATTCGTCGCTATAAGGTCATATATTTCGCGCCATGCGGCTTTTCGCCTGGCTTGGCAGTGCCTGTCGCCATCCAGTGGGCGCCTTTTTTCATTCCGGTGGTCATTTATCCGCTGAAAGCGTACGCTGTTGCCACCTCTTACGAGAGGCGATCGCTCCGTTCGTATCCCCCTAAGCCGCCGCTTCGCACCGCCAGGGCCTGATGCTGACGCTACAGAACCTGCCCACCCACGACTGGACCAACTCCGAGATCAGCCTGCTGGTGGCCGAAGCTTACAAGCTCAAGTACACGTTCGCCGACGCGCCCAACCATTTGGCCAGTCGGACCAAGTAGCGGCGGGCCGGGCCGGGCCGGCGACCGCCCGGTGTGTGATGCCGTGCCGGCGGGCGGGACCCGGTGCCACGCGCCGGCGTGCGGAGCCGGGCCGCGGTGGCCCGGTCGTGTTGGACTGCTCGCCGGGCGGAGCGGTGGGCGGGACGCGGGTGTGCGCGGGGCTGAAGAGGTGTGAGGCAGCGGCGGCTGGCGGCCTGCCGGGCAGCAGTGGACGGTCGCCGTCCGGACGGCTTCACCCGATGGTGTGGCCACACTCCCCACATCGTGACCAAGCACTGCCCGTAGCATGGCGGCCACAGGCTCGACAGCAGGCCCAGCAGCGTGTGTCAGCCACGGAGTGGACAGCTGGAGCGGTTGGTGTCCTGAGTGGGGCGGCCATGGCTGGGACGGCTGGGCCGGAGACAGAACCGGAGTGGTTAACGACCATGGCCCTGACGCTTGGTCTGGACGCGGAGCCGTGGTAGCGATGGCAGGTCCGCATAGAGCAAGCAACTGATCCCATCGTGGCTGTGGGCTGCCGTGGTGGCGCCGTCGTTTCGCAATGACGGAGCCGGTGGCGGCTGTGGTCCCCGAGGACGGAACTGGCGGTGCTGTGGTTCCTCGATGACGGAGCAGGTGGCGCTGTCGGCCCCCGATGATGGGGCCGGTGGCGCTGTGCTCCCCAGGTGACGGAACTGGTGGCGCTCTCGGCCCCCGATGATGGAGCCGGTGGCGCTGTGGTTCACCGATGACGGAGCCGGTGGCGCTGTGGTTCACCGATGACGGAGCCGGTGTCGGAAGTGGTGTCGCGTCGGGGCGTCAGCTCCGAGCCGCGAGGCCGGCCGGGCCCCGTCAGCGGCATGGCCATGATTCGGCCGGGGCCGCCGTCGCAATCATCATGACGCCGGTACCGAAATTGTCGTCCTTTAGCACTGCAGCAATCACCACAGCCCCGGCCGTCGGCGGGTGCGTAAACCTGCCGGTGCGCAGCCGCCAGCCGACCGGCCCTAAATCGGGCCGGCCGGTGACGTTGAGGGCGGAGCCTGCGGGTGCGAGGCGCTCCGGCCGGGCGGAGGTGCCTTGTCCTGTTAGACCGGCGCCGGAACCCGGGCCGTGTTCAACCTTGCTCAACGCCAGCGGAGCGCGCGGGGCGGCCGTCTCGCGCTGGCGCTCCGGCCGGACCTTGTTGCCACGAGGAATATTTATACCTCGTTTATCTCCCCCCCCCCCCCCCCCCCCCCCGTCTCCTCTTCACATGCAGTCGTGCTGCGTCTGGTCCAAGCTCCACGGCGAGCCGCGTGGTGGAATGGACGACGGGTCATCGCAGTGTGTGACGCACTGACCCCAGGACCAGCCCGCCGAGGGCGTGCTGTCCTCGCCCGGTTTGAGAGTGGCGGGCGCAGGCGGCTCGCTCCAGCCGCCCGATACGAAGACAGTGCAATGAGTTATGTCGCAACGTTGTTGAGGTCGATGCCGCGCTCTCGCTCGGTGTTGTTTTCTGTTGTGCCAACGGCGGCGCGAGCCAGGTGCGACTTGTTAGGCTTGTGTACTTCCGTATTTCTCGCGACGAACAAAGGACGAGGACGCGGGCCGCCGGGTGGTGGTTCGTGGTGCCCATTGGCGGATTGAGCGATGACGTCATGATCTGCGCGTGTGATTGGTGGGTGCGCTGATCGTATGATGGACCTGGTGTATCGCGGGATGGGCGTGTGACCTGCATCTGTGTAACAACAGGACACCGAAAATATATATTTTATACCGGTGGGAAGCAGTGTGTTAGCGGTTTTTGCCGTCTTCTTTACTTGTAAACGTCAAACGTAAAGGAATGCATTCCCAGCCGACTTTCCAAGCGCCTGGTGGCAACGCGACACGATATCTAGGCAGCGCAGCAAGGCAGCTATCTCTCGAAAAATGCGGGAATGTGAGTGCGATCCCGATCTCGATCGTCGTCACGGTCCAGTCATGACTACTCCGCTTCGTGATAAAAGAGTTGCAGTACGCCGCCTGCCATGTGTTTGCTGTCGTGATTACTTTCATGGTTCTCTTGGCTTCGTACAGTGCAACAGTACCATCCGAACCGCCAAGGTCGGCATGTGTGTTTCCGTTCTATTCGCCGTGGCCGGTGGTCGTGCCGGCGTCACGTCTGGCCGCACTTTCAAGCTCACGGCGAGGCCTCACAGCATCTGCTGACGTCTGAAAAAAGGTGTGCTCTTCACACGATCACGGCGAAGCCTCGCGCCAGCATCTGCTGACGTCCGAGAAGAGGCGTGGTCTCCACACGATCACGAGACTGTATTCGATGCTCACGACGTCGAGAGCGGAGCTGACGAGCGCCGCCGCGGTGTGCTCCGCATGGCTGGGGCGGAGCACACCGCCGTGGGCGCTCGAGCGGCACGCTGGCCACTGCGGAGTGATTGACGAGCGGTGGCGCAGCCTGTGAGTGCCGCGGTCTGGCGCCGGTGGCCGCGGTAAGAAGTGCTGTCCGATGGGTCACGGAATCTGTTTCAACTGTCGGGGGTAGGATGGGCAAGAGGGTATGTTCTGAAACTGACTGGAATCCGGTCATTGTGACCTAAAGACGTCAATGGAGGCCGAGGAAATTGAGTAGGGGTGTTAGTCTCGAAAGCAATGCATTAAATCATATGTGAACAATTTTGAAACTGTTTGAGGGGTAGTTGGTATTACAAGTTCGGCAGCGGGGCCCAGACAGCGTATTAGCTCCTGTTGACAAGAAACAGAGCATCTTTTACGGACACTACAGTCACAATATTTTGCTACTATCGCGAACGGACATGTACACACACAAAATAACAAAGAAGACATTACATTAAACGTTAACAAACGTACGAAGATGTCTGAGGGTTTCAAACACTGTGCACTTGCCACTTAACATCTATGACATGTTCCCTACGAGCTCCCCGAGAGCGTGCTGCACATTTATGTTATTGACCAACACGGCTCTACAAAAAAACACGGCCGGCGTGCCCGAGTTTACCAAAATCCTGACTTCCGTGAGGATCAACAAATCACGTTACATTTGGAAAATGCGCGCACTTGCAGATAATCAAGGGTGTTCTGCACACTGCACCTGGTTTGGCTTGAAGACGGACATCCAGTTTGGTCCCTAGGCGTAAGACAACAAGCAGCATTCAGTGCAATGCTCCTCTCCAGCCCTCCTCCTCACACCAACCACTCGTTTGTGTGGAGCGAAAGCCGCTTGTCGAGAGTTGCCCAGAGTTCCCGCTGGGAGCGCTGCGGTCGGCCACAGAGGGCGCTGCAGTCGGGCGTCGAGCGCCGGCGGCATCCGTCGGCCAGTCATACGGCTGTGGGCGGCGCCTCGGCCTCCTTCCCCGTGATCGCCGCCGGCACCAGGGTCGAGTTCAGCCCAAGGTCCCCCTCCGGCGTGATGCACACGTAGAAGCGCTGCGGCCCAGCCGACGGTCAGATTCCGAGCGCACAACACGAGCGAACGGTTCACTTTGACGATAACCGGATGTGTCATCGCCATGTAACAGAAGTGCGCTGCATACCACCGCCTATTTTCAAGCGCAGGCGCACGTTTGTCAAGGAACAGTGCCTGTTACGTCCTACCGTGATGCTTTGCACTGCTCCTGCATTTTAGTTCCTTCGAATATGCGTGCACCGCCTCGTGTAGCTCGACACACCGCCCTCGAGCCGGACCTGCACCGGTCCGTGGCGCCCCTGACCTGCTTCAAAGAGCCGGGCGTGGTCAGGAACATGTAGACGATATAGGCGGGGATGCAGACGAGCGAGCTGGCCGTCATGCCCCAGCCGAGCGCGATCGACCAGCGTGGATAGACGTACTCCTTGGTGCGCAGGTCCTCGTACGTCACCAGCGAGCACACAAAGATGAACTGACGGCGGGACCAAACTGGTATTAGCGGACGAGACTGCACTGACGCCACAAATATGACCTTTGGGTGCGGAGAGGCGCTGTAGACGAAAATGGGTGTTCATGGTGGTGGATACGGGCCAACAGGTAAAACTAAAATGCTGCCACAGGGTCCGTAGGTTGAACGCCCCACAGCTGCCGAGGCGTGGAATGGTGATTGGTGACTGTTTGGAATGTGACTGTTTGAAATTGGTGACTGGAATGGTGACTGTTTACTGTCGAGGTTGTCAAGACGGAGAAGTGAGCCATTCAAACAGAAGGGAGTTCCGAGGAGAGGAAATTTTGATCTTGTACCTAAATAATGAACAAAAGTGTGGCCAAGGTAACAACAGTGCTGTCTAAAACGAGCTGAAGAGAGAGGAATCGCACTCAGCAAACAACAATAAGCTGACAAAACTGAGAGCAGCTAAATGGCGTTTGGCGAGAAAGGGTGAACCATCAAAGTTGAGTACTGTGTTCGACAAACGGAAAATAACCGTCGAAAAGGGAAACTGGATCGGGCGAAAATAAAATACGGGATGGGAACTGAAGTGGGCACTGATAAAGACTAGAAACCGACGGGTTCTGGCTAGCGTCAACAGACAAAAACCTCCGTCGCAGCGTGGAAATTGCCGACGCGTAAAAGCAGAAAGGCTGGTTGGCAAGGGAACTGTACACCATTGAACCTGTGGACGCACCTTGGTGCAAGATGCGGAAAATGTCACACACATAGAAAGGGTCTCTTGGCAGCTTGTGTCCTCGGCATAGTTAAACTGCAGAACCGTGCCCCGCTATTCTCTTATTGTGAAATTGGGTTCTTTAAGCCTATGTTCAATTACGTAGCAGGGAGGTATCTTTGAATCAATCAATGGCAATGCATGCGTATATAGGTAGAGAGAGAGAGAGAGGGGAGAGAGAGAGAGAGAGGGAGAGAGAGAGAGACGAGAGAGAGAGAGAGAGAGAGACAGAGAGAAGAGAGAGAGAGACCTATATATATATTATATATATATATAATATTATTAATATTATATTTATACACATATTATATTATATACACACATATATATATATATATATATATATATATATATATATACATATGTATACATAAGCAAATTCCCCACCAACACAAATGGTAAGAATAAGCGGGAGATCACTTACCAATAAGAACAGCGGGCTGACAAAATTCCAGCAGATGCGCCAGAATATGCCGGGGCTGGATCCAATCATCCTCTCGACATCACTCGCGAACCTGCCACGAACAACGAGTTCAGTGAGAGCTTCATGTCCGCTGTCTTCTATCGATGCCAAATGAATGCCAATAGAGAGCCGATTCAAAACCAGCAATAAATGCAATACCCGCCAGGAAGGTGTAGCTATTGGCGAACAAGAATAAAAAAACTCAAAGGTATGGTCTGTCATTTATTCATATGCCATGAGGAAGCAGACACGTATGACATATGTGCACGACGCTCCGAATCCGAAGCAGCCATGGCCTCGGAGAGAACCGGCCAATTAGAGATCGTTATTCTCCAGTTTTATGTGATCCCTTAAAAGACAGAGCACCAAGTCAATTGCAAGAGTGGGACGATTGCATGTCGCAATATAGCCAGGGAGCACCGTAGAATACTGTCTATTTGATCCCTGAATCCAGGTGGCCTTGGACCAAGACACGAGCTGAGGTTCACGCTTGGAGAGTCGTGCAGAACATCGAAGTGTAGCTAAAGATGGCCACATTGCCTTCAGATGCTCATGTGCCTAATCATGATTTTTTTTTTGTAAAAGCAAAGAGACTTGTGATAGCGCATCGAGACATTTATAGTCACTGTTTGACAAGGAACGTGTCAAGTTTCGAACATTGTAATGCACGATCGGAACTGCATTATTGAGAAATCCATTTGAAATTAGTTGTTCCAGAAGGGAATTCGCCGGCGTTCTTCACGACGATCCAGGCAGAAAACTACACTTTGGAGCATCAGGTACATATATAAAGGTTTTTTTTTGTCACATTAGACACGATCCAAACAACCTCTATTTGGAACCTCAAATCATGAAAGGCGTGAAAAATAAAGTGAAAAGCTATCTGCGCCCACCTGTTAGCGCCGTAAAACCAGCAGACGGCGACCGCCTCCACGAACACGATGAACAGCACGGATATGCCGGGGCCGTAGATCATCAGCAGGTCCACCACGTACATCCCGCCCTGAGACGGACAGACCTTGTCGCTAGCTTCTGCTCTGAGCTCAACGATGGAGGAAGCGGGGAGGCGTGATGGGTATGGCGAGAAACTGCCTCTCATACGCTTGGAAAAAATTGGCATGGCGTTGCATGGAATGAAACGCGACAAACATCGCGTTTTTCACTTGTCCTGCTCCAATTGTCTCCAGTTGTCAACGTAATTGCGGTACTGTGGGCTTTTCATGTATCACTTGCAGCTTTATAAGACAAAGTCTGGGAAAAGAAAAGGAACAGCGCGTGGAAATATGGATGCAGAACGATCCTGGTAGTTAACTCTCCCATAAACACCATTAATGATCGATGCGTCAAAACAGTTTGAACGCCGGTGTCGTTCCATATGCATAGATTTGCAGGCCAGATATAAAATGACGAAAATTATTGCAAAGTAATTCACCTGTTCGTCACTAGGTAGTTCCTTCTATGATTATTATCGGTAACTGATCAGAGAAGAAGCGGGTGCTTCGAGATGAACACAAGTCATGTGTTCCACATCACTTGAAGGACGGGCAATCTTTCGGTTCGTAAACGTTGCACGCGGGAGACTTTCAACAACCCATCCTCTCGACTTAACAGGCGCAGTACGATTTCATCGTCGCTTAATGGACTGAACCAGGAAGACCAGAAAAACACCAAGACATTCAGAGCGAGAGGATTCGAGGGGGACCGCTGGCATCAATGAAGCACAAGAAGACAGACAACAGCCCCGAAATGTCGCCAGGGGGCTTCCAGTAACGTCGCCGGACCTCGGCCACCGAGGCTGCGCCAGGTCGGCCGCGCCACTTGAGAGTCCATCAGACCGATGAAATGTTTATTTTATTGACGTCGATCCATCGGCGCGGCGGGCGGGTTTGATCGGTGGTGCGCGGCGCGCCTCGCCGACCCTCGCGGGACTCCTCCCGGCGACAATTTATGGACGGACGGCTCATTTGTGAGTCAACGGCGGGGCGCGGCAAGCACCGGCGGCCGCCCGGATCGGCCCGGGTCAGCAGGAGCGATGACCGCCGGCACTGCGCTTATCTCCGCAAGACAATACAGCGGGGCCGCGACGGGCGCACAGCGCGCTCGCAGGTGCCGGCTCGGCGCAAGGCTGGGGGAGTGGACTGTGGCGGAGTGGCAGGGTTGCGGAGTAGCGGGGCTGCGGAATGAGAAGGGTGTGCGAATGGGACGGACGTAACGTAGAAACAAGCGTGGCGTTTGTCAAGCGTAAACAAGATTATTACGGCAGCTGAAAACGGATAAATGGTGGATGAGCTGAAAGCTGCGGGAAGAAACAAGTTCTTCGATTCCCACAGTCGATACAGTATGTCGTGTTGATGGTAGATAGTGACATTGGGCTCTAAGAGCAGAACTGTTGTTCAGAAACTCCCGGAGGAATTCTGTATCAAACCCCTGTCCTGGCAAAGGCTAAACGGGGGCTCCCGCATTGTTTTCATAAATGCTTCCGCTTTCCACCACGCTGGATTTGTAAAGATACAGTGATTTAAATGAATGCGACAAGTGTTAAGTATCGTTGCTGTAGGATTGATATTATCTAGACTGGCTCAGGACCTCAGCTCCTTGGGCGCTTTCTACCTAAATGTATCAAGGGTGTATAAGAAACCTGATGTGGTGTCACGTATTTCTCAGATGTGAGAGTACCCAAATAAGATCCGTTTAGCTCTTAGGGCTAAGTGGATACGCAATTGCATGTTACTGTTTCAACAGCTCCTCTCGCAATGAAGGCAGGTATTACTAAGTTCCGGTGCTCTGGACGGTAGTCCCTGCGATCTCAAGGGTGCGGCGCATGCAGCGTCTGTTCTTCCTGTCGGTGGCTTCCGTGATGTCGAAGCGCGTGGACCATGTGATGATATCGATAAATTGGTGGCCGCTGTTGTAAAGAAGAATGGTGCTGAATGCTTTGAGTTGTTAACCGAACAATGCAATAACAGCAGTTGCGGAGGCGAAAGCATGCTTTCTATCGTGTGCGTACTTTGTGATGCACCCAACAAAACGGGGCCAGAGCCATACTTTACTCCTTCCATTTGCCTCCACCCATCTACGGCATGGTCATTTAATCATCATCATAGACCTCGGCAGACATAGGCAGACATCATCTAGTGTCTTTGTCATCACCCAATGTAACGTCATCATGATCGGCATTACATTTCTTTGCTGCGTTCTCTGGCTGTCACAAGGCGCGGTGTCAGGCTCCTTACGTATGTGGTGGTGGGGAGCGCGCAGATGTAGCAGAAGACCAGGAGGCAGCCAACGAAGATCTCGCGATGTTTGCCGAGCACGTTCGGGTATTCGTCACAGAGTCCGGTAATCATGGCCTCGAGACCATCCGAAGGTGCTGTCCAGACCTGCGGGTGGAAGAGACACTGCACTGTCCGGACGTAGTGACTTCGAGCAATCGTGGTGCTCTGTGGCAGCTCCACAGATGACCTACGACGTACGGTGAGTGATGGATAGGTACGACTCAGATACGCTTACACAGTTACGCTACAGAGTTGTGAACCGAACGTTGTGATGTAGTAAGTAAGCCCTATACGCTCAAGCAGATACGCAGATGCGCTTATACAGTTACGCTTCGGGGTTCTAGTGCTTAGCTAATGCACTTATTTCAAATTTCATAAAATCTGAGTACGTACGTTACGTTTTTTTCTCATATTGAAACGCTCTGCCTAATACCTCGATGAATTTAGATGTGCAGTTGCGTTTTTTGTGATGTAGTAAAGACCCGATGAGACCCCAAATTTGTGCGATAAACTTCTACCAACCTAGCTGTTATCAACATGAGGAAGAAGATGATGGCCCAAAAGACCGAGCCAGACATCATCGCCACCGCTCGGGATAGACTAGAAGACGAGACCTACTGACCTGTAAAGTTAAAGTATATGGGTCAGCGACTATCTAGGGACGGACGGCCCGTCCGTAGCTATCTCTCTCTCTCTCTCTCTCTTCTCTTCTCTCTCTCTCCTCTCTCCTTCTCTACTCTCCTCCTCCTCTCTCTCCTCTCTCTCTCTCTCTCTCTCTCTCTCTCTCTCTCTCTCTCTCTCTCTCTCTCTCCTCTCTCTCTCTCTCTCTCTCTCTCTCTCTCTCACACACCACACACACACACACACACCACACACACACACACACCCACAACACACACACACACACACACACACCCAACACACACACACACAAACACACCACACACACACACACACAACACACACACACACACACACACACACACCACACACACCGCACACAAACACACACACACACACACAACAGCTTAACAGAGCGATCGAACCGATGAGTGCGAGCACATTGCTACATTGTGCGAGGAGAACGGCCAGATAAGAAAACATCTGTTGATGTGCTTGTTGAAAGACGCTATGCTGAGGTAGATAAATTTCTGTATAGCTTCTCTCACCGTCCGTGCCAACCGAGTCGATGTCCTTTGTTCTGGACCGTTGCCATGTACCCTGTAAAGACAAATACATGCGTTTGCCACGGAAAGAGGGAGAGAGTAAGGGAGAGAGAGAGAGAGGGAGAGAGAAAGCGAGAGAGAGAGAGAGAGGGAGAAGGGAGGGGGAGAGAGAGAGAGACCATGGAGCAGACGAAGATGAAGACAAAAAGGGAGAGGGAGCGGGCGTGTGATTGCAGTTACGAGTGGGACTGTATGTCGAGCGAGTCTTTCCTTTACTATGAGGGGCAATGTATTAAATTTACGTAACGCGCAAGCTTTTGGCCCATTTCAACCCTCTCTTCTTTTTATTCCCTGTTTACACTAGGGCCATAACTTCATCCCCTGGTTACGGCGCATTAAATGTAACACCCAAAAACTCTCATCCGTTTCGCCCATAATCTGTCTAGACGTGCGGACACAAAAGACGAGAGTGTAGCTTCAATGAAAGGAAGCCAGCAGCACCCACCTTCAACCTTTTAAAACATGTTTCAAAGGATGCTAGCATGATTCGCAAACATACCTTAGCGTTAAGTTACGGTGTCTATAACCTACCACCCCACCACCCCCCCCCCCCCTTAGCTGCGCTTCGATCACGCTCGATCAAACGTGCCTTCTCCTCTCAGTGAAATCGTTATTTATGGGTGACCCCTAATGGTATTGTTAACTTGAACTACGGGGCTAGCACCGGCGTCGCGAGGTCAGAAAACAGCATCATCCTCGTATCCGCCGATTCATACAAATTGCAAGCTACCCGACTTGTAATTTTACTGAATTTTGCAATTTGGGCAAAACATAGCTTCACCTTTTAACATGCAAACAGATATTCACATCGCAAAAAAATGTAGAGCACGTGCCAAAAACACACCCAGATGTCGATAACGCAGCGGTCGCAGCAGGGGCGCAGTCAGAGTCCTGGTAAGTGGGAACGGGCACCGGGCTGATTAAAGGGCCTCTGATGCCGAAAGTCCCTCCCAAAATAAATCACTGGATGCGATCCACTTGGTTTTGAGGGAGCAACAATTTTCGTCGTTGTAAGATCATTTTTAACATTATTTTACTGTGACAGAAGCCATAAGTTAGTAAACTGAAGCATGCGGGCGTTAATCAACTGCACGGAATAAGCCGACAAAGCGATTGATTTTTACAATGGTCCCACTGGACTCATTCTAATCCCACAGTGTCCCAGACGCTTCGTTAGAATTGTGTTGGCCCCGTGCATGCATTGAGGACCACGGAACCGTAGGTTGTAGATCGAAATGGGTTTTAAAATTTGTATTAACGTGGCCAGCCCATGCTCGTCTGGAAATGCTCAACCTTTATTCAGAAGCGAAAACCTAGACGCCCGACATTGCAGTCTCCTTAGGCCGCGCGGTGCCGGCCCCGCGGGTACACTAGGCCGCGGGTAACGGGCGGGCGAACATGATGATGTATTTCGGTGCTGGAGCCCCTGACTAACGCAGGATGCGTTCATGTTCTCCTTGTGGACTCGCATCAAAGGTTCTGATATCTCCTTTCATGATAACAGTCCCTCTTACAAAGCAAAAGTGTTCCCCAGCCGACTTGGGGTCCCTTGCCGACACAAGACCCATGTCGGGAACTGTGGGTCCCTGATAAACACCGGGACACCGCATTGTTTCCGGGGGCCCGACCAATGTAAGTCACGGGGCCCGCCCTTGTCCCCGCTTGAGAAGTAGGTCCTCGGGGCTCAGGCCGACACAGAGCCGCCTGTTCGGTGTTCATGGTCTCTGCCCGAAAAAGAGACTGACATTGTCCAACGGAGGCACCCATCGGTGCAAGGGACCAGCTGAATGACATCTGAGGACCTGACCTTGCGGCCGCAACCCCTTAATACGACCTCCGGTCAGTCCTTTGGGCCCTTAATCGTCGGTCCCGAGAGCTCCGAAGGATGCCCCGGGACCTGAGAAGGTGGGGATGGACACATACTTCATGTGCCCATGTGCCCCCTCCCCTTTGCCCGTGCCGCTGCGTCGCAGCAATATGAGACCAATTTATTCTGATGGAGGAGAGAACGGATGACCATGTTGACAAAAGTGGGATCGACGCATACACGCTGCTAAGCACTCTGGTGCACAAGCCGTGAATGCGTTCGTCTTGGGACGTTTTTTTTAAAATAAAAAATGGACTGCGTCTCGGCTACCAAAGCCGGCAATGGCTGGCACAAACCACACGGCATAGCGGATGTACCACACACAAATCCCTGGGTGGTTTCAACATTGTAGAATCCACTGATGCTTCAGTAAAAGATACGGGACAAGCCAATGGCACGATTCCCGTCATCGCCATCGAATATCTAACTTTGAAAAGTTAGACCATGAAAACTCCTCAAGCAAGTAGCTCATTTTCTTGCAACCGATATCCACTCAGCATATTTTGTTTTTATCAAGAGTTCGGTTGAAGTCACCAAAACCTAAACAGCCGAAAATTCCTTAGTTTTTTTCAACATCAACTTTCGGACCATTTTAGGCCCAAGATCAGGCAATCTTAAAGACATGTTGTTTCCAGTCTTGTGCATGAACGCACCACTTCGTGCATACATTTATCAGTGTATCGTTACGATAATGAAATTTGTGCAAGACTTATGTACTTAACTTATCCAACGTAACTTAACTCAACTTATATAACGCACCGCCACGTGTAGGCACATTGAAAAGTTACATCAATGGATCTCTGCCTGCCGAACGAATTGAATGAGAATATTCCAGTGCAGTGACGTCTATTCGCATGTATCCTTAATGGGATGTGGACCTATATGCTCAAGTTTCTGATTGCATCTTCATTATGATAATATCTACGCCTGCTATCACATCGCTCGCCCCATACCGCGTGTTAGGAGTGACCGTTCGTGACGGTAAAATGCGCTCAATATAATGGAAAATAAATAATGGAGTTCATTACAATATAAATAGCGTAACAAGCATGTACTGTCTCTGGCAAGCGGAGCGTTTCTTGATATCAGAACATTCCTCTCAGCATCGGCATCCAGTAATGTCATTATGATATCGATAGAAAAAGAGCAACTTACCCAGAACTGAAAAGATGACGAAGCCGGCAAGGAAGCTGGTCAGACAGTTGATTGTACTCGTAATCATTGCGTCCCTGGAGAGAGGGAAAGGTGTCAACACATCATGAACAATCACGAGCAATCACATGCGCAGCGCAGCTTAGTGTCACCTCAAATGCTGCTTGTGAGACAAAGCTAGGTCCAACCTTCTTTGCTGCCATGCGGCAATATTAGAATATTTAGGGTTTCAAAAGTTCCTGAACACTTTGATAAAAGTGTTTTCTGACATGACATAAAGTATGCATTAAGTACACGTAATAACGAGCGGGCGTTTCTCATAGCCCTCCCAATGCTATCATTGTTAACGAATAGCTTATTCACGGTGCAAATATTCCTGGAAGATCGCAGGCGATGGTGGCTGGATAACCCACCTGAAGCAGTTGTTATTAAACTTGTTGTAGCTAGAGAGAGCCAGAAGTGTTCCGAAGCCGGGCCCCAGTGAGAAGAAGATCTGCGTGGCCGCATCTATCCATACCTGTCAAGATGTTCGCCTTGTAATCGCCGTGCAGTGCTTCTAGATGAACTAGCCGAATCGAATTTGCTTTGGAGGCGTACGCTTAACACCATAGAGGCTTGAACATCCGCAAAAATCATCTAAACTTCGCACTCTGGGTAAGCCGGAGGGCAGCCTACCCAGCAGCCCGAAAACGGTTTTCGTCGATTAGTGGGACAGGCAGCTTGATTTTTATGAACGCTTTTTAGATAAGCCATAAGCCGCAGTTCGGAAAGATTCCCAGTCAAGTGGAATCATTAGAAGAAATCACGGCGACTGTAACTGGATGCGTTGAGATTCTCTTGGTTAATTGCCGAAAGCGAGAATGGCTATCCTTACCTTAACGTCCTTAAGTCGGTGCCATTGGGAGTGAGATAGTATCTGATACCCATCCAGGCTCCGGCAGGGTGATCGCCGCGGAACGCAGGGTGAACAGGACCACATAGGGAACAGAGCTGTGATCCAGAAAACCACCGTGCCATGGCACGGCAGAGTGTGTGGAACTCAGTCGCGATGTTGCGTGGCGTGTGCTCAAACAGCCAACATCGGAGCGTCCTGTTCCGTTCGCAAGAAGCGTTCAGTGACCGGCTCATTTCAGCCGTTGGGCGCAAACTACCTAACAGGTTTGCATATTTTCTTCAGTGATTTTTTTCCTTGATTGATTGGTGATTGGTGATTGATTGGTGATTGATTGGTGATTGGTGATTTGGTGATTGATCACCTGATTGGTGATTCATCATAATATCTTATCTGACCTCCATCCAAGGCTCACGTGATTCTCCCCTTCCCGAGAACGTACTCTCTAACGTGTCAAGCACCTGGTATCGGTTATGCTGTGCCGCAAGACACGTGTCTTGCGGCGCAGCCGATCGCTGCAAGTCGCTTTGCCTGAGCGGGATTTCACGGGGCGGAGCGGGATGGCTTGCCGCCCCCATTATGCAAAGGCTGAGGCTATTCAACATTATTTGGCATGCGCCCGGGTGGCCGGCTGGATACCCTTCGCTCGGGTGGGGGGTCCAATTTGACGCACCTTGAGATCTCAGGAACTAGGAGGGCTAGAGACACCGAATTTACAAGGTGTGTTGGCCTGTATGAGAAACTCACTTAGGTCAAATTTTGAGGCTCCCTGTTCATAACCTTCGGGTCAAGTAAGTTCAAGAACGTTCAAACTCTAAGTTGGTCTTCAAAGTGTTCCCAGAGCCTAGATACCTGCTCGAAGCAAAAAATTAAATGCTCATTCAAGCTAAGCGAACTTGTTTGACCTTTCTAAGGCCATGGTGGCCAAAGGCACGGAGGACTGTTTTGAGTTTTTTTATTCGAATCAGCGGCAAAGATTACGCTGGGCAGTATGTTTCTAAAAAACGAAATGTTGATCTGGGTCATTTAAGACAATGATCTATTCTGGTCCTTAAGAAGTCCATGTAATATATCTAGTGTGGCTCCTGTTATCAATACATTCAAGATGGGCACCAGAAACTGCCTCGTACGGCAAGCTTTATGTAAATGAACCGGTTGGTTTTGATCGTGGTCTGACCTTTATATCTGATCCTAGGTCAATGGAATTTGGTGATGCGATTGTTGCGTAGCCTAAGGAAGTAGCTTAGGCATGTTTAGCTTCGTCTAAAACTCCGCTGTTCCACCAGATTGAACGAACCCCTAGAAATTGTCTTCGCTGAATCAATTGTCTGACTTCGACCTGCCGTAGGTCAGCAACCTTACAAGGTACAAATATGTTTTTGGCACCACACGATCCGCTATTCAACTGTCTACTGCTACGAAAAATTTGTCGGGCTACCCCGCGCCATTTAGAAACCATTCCGGATAATCCCCCAGGGGTTGATTTGACCCCCGCCTTAGCGTGTGGGGGTCAAATTGGTCAAATGGGGGTCAAGGTAGCGTCAAACAGCGGATGTGTTAATGAGACTGAGGCTAGCAGTGCCTTGGGATCGTTCTCGCAGCGCTTATGCAAAAACTTTTAAATACAATACGAATCATTTTCTTTCGGGGCGGCGTGATCTGCCTTTGTGGGAGCTGAGCCAGACGCCTGGGTCGAGACCACTACGCCTGGGAACCTGCAACTGGGGTGCGTCTGGAACACGTGCCGTGTGCTTACCAGACCCCTGGATCCAAAGCAGTGCCACCGGTACATGGCTTGCTTGTGGGAACAGCGCACGGTGCCCCGGGCCCGGTCTGCCTCTGGAGTTCTTTGACCAGGTTATTGAGGTATATTTATTCCTATGGAACGTCATGACATTTTCAGGCGTAGCGTTCAGTTTTGCTATAACGGTGGAAGTCTCCATATCTTCAGCGGCTCGAGCTCTCTAGAGTTCTACAATGTGCTCACTTCTCCGTTCTACCATGGAGCTCAGGGGTATTGAGAAAGAAAAAGATGACAAGTGAGCATGGGCTAATATTTTGGAAAATTGAATGCTTCATTAAAGAACCGGGATAGCTATCCCAACCTCGCGATGCCAAAATGCTGCACCAATGTAACGGCACTGCGCGTGCTCCTGCTGGCCGAAATTACGCGCTAAGTCATGTTTCGGCTGGAAAATTGGTGGTGACGACACAGACGCTTCTTGGAACGTGTTGTCGTTTGGATTAATGCCAGGCGCGAGTAACAATGCAGTTAACGCACCATTAAAACCCAATTACTAACTAACTTACTCGAATCAATGGCAAAACCAGCCTACGCACATGGCACATCTCATCTACTTCAGCTCTCATCCACCGTCCTTGTTACCTTTCCTGTGCTCTTCACGCCCTTCCACAAGGAGAAGTAGACCAGCACGAAAACAGCCAGCAGAGAGACAGCCAGCGGCCACTTGACCGACCCTAGATCGTTGATTCCGTCCGCTTTCTGAACTTCCAATACAGCGTAGCTGAAATGTCACACGAATGCGTCGTAGCCCGAAGTACCATTTCCTCTCCAGTTTCCGTCCCGGTCAACTTCAATTTTCAGCGTTCATCGGCTGTGACACCTATCAGAATAGATCCTGCTCGCGCCACAAGGTTCGGACAGAAAGCTCACCTGCAAAAAATCCTCAGGGTGATATGGCATTAGACTACCCCTGAATGGCAAGGGACGCCTTACGATAGATCAGTACTGCACGATGCACGACTTGCAAGCAGATATATCCCGCATGATCAAATTAGGGGCCTGTACTGATTGTAGATCTGCGCATAGACCGCAGTCCGGCGTTAGGGCTCCGAATTCCGTCACATACGACACCCCCACAGAGAACGGGTGGGTGCGGGCTCACTGGAAGTACTCGTAGGCGGGGCTGGTGGCGTTGCCGTCCGGCGGCGGCCAGCTCTCGTTGAGTGGCGTCTGTCGACAGCGGGCCGTGTTCCAGGCGTTCTGGCAGCGCGTCCACGGCAGCTCGTTACGGAAGCTTTGCACCAGGTAGTAGACCGACCACGCCAGCACCGTGTTGTAGCACATGGCCATGTAGATGTCGATGATGCAGATGGCGTAGCCGATGCCTGCCCGGCAGGGGAGTAGATGGACGTAGGAATTGAGTGGGGTTTCTGTGTTAGCTGCACTGCTGAACAACAGATGTGATCGACAGTTGACGTATGCTGCAAGAGTCACCCAGAACATTTAATGAACAGGTGGAGCTGCGAATAAAGGATTGAAATTTTGGAATGGTTGATGCATTTGGATATTAATGTTTTGTGTTCAGAGCAAATCCACCTGACTCGCAACGATTACGCCATTGCGTAGGAATAAGAATTTATGCACGGCGCCGCCGTCGTGTACCTCACAACCCTCAGCGCGAGCCTGTACGCGTCGCCCGGCGAGCCACAAGTGTCGCTGGCGCGGCACGCTCAACACCCCAGGCGACGGGCCTCCCAGCGGGGCCAATCGGTCACGGCTGGGGAGGCCGGCGGCGCTCGGAGCACCATTACCCGGCCGGGGCCGAGCCGGAGCGTGCCGGCGGCGCCGCGGGGAGCGCCGATGACGTCCTGCGCCGAGCGGCTAACGACCGGGCTCGATGGCGTCGAAGGACGCGCCGAGATTGGCGCCGATGATAAATGATGACGCCACTTTCGAGGTAATCGGGGAAAAATGGACGCATCCACGGGACGGGAGGCCATCAAGGAAAGGTGAAATTAAGCAGGGTGGTGATGGACATTGCGATGCGTCAGTGGCCTTCATTTCGTTAACGACATTGCATTCGCTGCAGGATGGGGACCTTGTGCCCTTACGGCAGCGCAGTGCCTGCTATATCGGTCTCGTTGTTCGGGTTAATTTAGTACAGGGTTAAAAGCTCAAGCACTGGCACGATGGCAGATGAAGTGCACACTATCTACTATCGATATAAACTTCCTTTTACCGGACAGAACGTCAACGTACTTCAACAACACGCTTGCTCCCAATGCTGTATTGCAAACTAGATGAGTCTAGGTACTAACTAGATGATTCCCCATATGGTAAAATATTAAACAACAGTTGATTCTCTTAAATATATGGTCTCCCCATTTTCCTAATTTTAATCACCATCCCAGCTGAGACGGTCAAAACTGTGGCAATCTTCTGCAGTATCACCGTGTCGGCCTACCTTCCAGAGCCGGACAGATCTCCTCCCAGAGAGTGAGTCGGCGTACCTTTCAGAGCCGGACAGATCTTCTCCCAGAGTGAGTCGGCCTACCTTCCAGAGCCGGACAGATCTTCTCCCAGAGTGAGTCGGCCTACCTTCCAGGGCCGGACAGATCTTCTCCCCAGAGTGAGTCGGCATACCTTCCAGAGCCGGACAGATCTTCTTCCAGAGAGTGAGTCGGCATACCTCCAGAGCCGGGCAGATGTTCTCCCAGAGAGTGAGTCGGCGTACCTTTCAGAGCCGGACAGATCTTCTTCCAGAGAGTGAGTCGGCGTACCTTCCAGAGCCGGACAGATCTCCTCCCAGAGAGTGAGTCGGCGTACCTTCCAGAGCCGGACAGATGCTCTCCCAGAGAGTGAGTCGGCGTACCTTTCAGAGCCGGACAGATCTTCTCCCAGAGTGAGTCGGCCTACCTTCCAGAGCCGGACAGATCTTCTCCCAGAGAGTGAGTCGGCGTACCTTTCAGAGCCGGACAGATCTTCTTCCAGAGAGTGAGTCGGCATACCTTCCAGAGCCGGGCAGATGTTCTCCCAGAGAGTGAGTCGGCGTACCTTTCAGAGCCGGACAGATCTTCTTCCAGAGAGTGAGTCGGCGTACCTTCCAGAGCCGGACAGATCTCCTCCCAGAGAGTGAGCCGGCGTACCTTTCAGAGCCGGACAGATCTCCTCCCAGAGAGTGAGTCGGCGTACCTTCCAGAGCCGGGCAGATGTTCTCCCAGAGAGTGAGTCGGCGTACCTTCCAGAGCCGGACAGATCTCCTCCCAGAGAGTGAGTCGGCGTACCTTTCAGAGCCGGACAGATCTCCTCCCAGAGAGTGAGTCGGCGTACCTTCCAGAGCCGGACAGATGCTCTCCCAGAGAGTGAGTCGGCGTACCTTTCAGAGCCGGACAGATCTTCTTCCAGAGAGTGAGTCGGCGTACCTTCCAGAGCCGGACAGATCTCCTCCCAGAGAGTGAGTCGGCGTACCTTCCAGAGCCGGACAGATGTTCTCCCAGAGAGTGAGTCGGCGTACTTCCAGAGCCGGACAGATGTTCTCCCAGAGAGTGAGTCGGCGTACCTTCCAGAGCCGGACAGATGTTCTCCCAGAGGGTGAGTCGGCATACCTTTCAGAGCCGAGACAGATCTCCTCCCAGAGAGTGAGTCGGCGGTACCTTCCAGAGCCGGACAGATGTTCTCCCAGAGAGTGAGTCGGCGTACCTTTCAGAGTCGGACAGATCTTCTTCCAGAGAGTGAGTCGCGTACCTTTCAGAGCCGGACAGATCTTCTCCCAGAGAGTGAGTCGACGTACCTTTCAGAGCCGGACAGATGTTCTCCCAGAGAGTGAGTCGGCGAACCTTTCAGAGCGGACAGATCTTCTTCCAGAGAGTGAGTCGGCGTACCTTTCAGAGCCGGACAGATCTTCTCCCAGAGGTGAGTCGGCGTACCTTTCAGAGCCGGACAGATCTTCTCCAGAGAGTGAGTCGGCGTACCTTCCAGAGCCGGACAGATCTTCTCCCAGAGAGGGAGTCGGCGTACCTTCCAGAGCCGGACAGATCTTCTCCCAGAGAGTGAGTCGGCGTACCTTTCAGAGCCGGCCAGATCTTCTCCCAGAGAGTGAGTCGGCGTACCTTTCAGAGCCGGACAGATCTTCTTCCAGAGAGTGAGTCGGCGTACCTTTCAGAGCCGGACAGATCTCTTCCAGAGGGTGAGTCGGCGTACATTTCAGAGCCGGACAGATCTTCTTCCGAGAGTGAGTCGGCGTACCTTTCAGAGCCGGACAGTCTTCTCCCAGAGAGTGAGTCGGCATACCTTCCAGAGCCGGCAGATGTTCTCCCAGAGAGTGAGTCGGCGTACCTTCCAGAGCCGGACAGATCTTCTCCCAGGAGAGTGAGTCGGCATACCTCCAGAGCCGGGCAGATGTTCTCCCAGAGAGTGAGTCGGCGACCTTCCAGAGCCGGACAGATCTTCTCCCAGAGAGTGAGTCGGCGTACCTTTCAGAGCCGGACAGATCTTCTTCCAGAAGAGTGAGTCGGCGTACCTTTCAAAGCCGGACAGATCTTCTTCCAGAGAGTGAGTCGGCGTACCTTTCAGAGCCGGACAGATCTTCTTCCAGAGAGTGAGTCGGCGTCCCTTCCAGGGCCGGACAGATCTTCTTCCAGAGAGTGAGTCGGCGTACCTTTCAGAGCCGGACAGATCTTCTTCCAGAGGGTTGAGCAGCCGCTGCGATGGTACTGGCCGAGAGCTAGCTCCATGTAGAAGAGCGGAAGGCCGCCGAAGATCAGCATGATCAGGTACGGGATCAAGAACGCACCTGCCATGTAAAAGTCTGTAAATTTGGGTGGTAAAGGTGCGGGAGCTATCGCGCTGTATCGATCTTTGGGTGGTTGGGACTTCCCCAACATTTGGGATAATGTAGCACTTAGCTAATGGGCGAAGGTCAGGATGAGGAACTCGTCGGCCAGCACCAACGCTAAGCAGTGCTTGGTGTGTGGGGCCTGGCCCCACCACCCGATCGTGGCACTTAGGGGTCAACGGCAGAATTTTGCGACGGAAGCTTAACAAGACATATTGTTCCGCACGGTTCGTCCTGCCCTCTGACGTCAACCAAATTTTTCGCGTGGTCACTGCCACCGGCTGCGCGCCACTTCGGTCAAGTGCAAACAGCGAGCGTCTAAATCGACTTGAACCCATCCCGCCACGACAGGGTGGATCGGAAGACAGGCGCTCTAACCAGCTGAGCTATCCCACGGAAGCAGTTGCCGCGAGAAATTATCTCAGTCAAGGATGAGAGTACTGGATAAAATCGCACAGAAAACTCCAGTGAGGACCTGTTGAGATGAAATTGTTAAATTGTGTTATGTTAAATGATAGTTAACGTGGGGGCTTCCTCGGCTGTCATAACACGTTCTCCTTCGGCCTGCTAATATTGTAGCCAAACATCGGCTATCTCCAGTATGTAACACTTAATGCCCCCGAAAAAGGTCGTAACTTTTTCTGGCTTGCCTCCGATAAATCATACTGTAAACCGTTCCTGGCTCGTGCAGTGTGCCAAACTTTGTTTGGAAAACGCTAATTTGATAGTCAGGAAAAATCATCAAACTTCAGCACTCCAGGTGGAACGGTTGGTAATGAGATAGGAAAAGCTAGAGATTAACGAGTCGTTCACGCATAAAAACGACGCGAAGGCGTCACAGCCTGGAGGGGGACAAGGCGTCATAGCTTGGAGGCAGCATAGCATCATAGCCTGGAGGGGACATAGCGTCATAACCTGGAGGAGGCATAGCGTCATAGCCCGGAGGAGGCATAGGGCCATAGCCTGGAGGGGACGTAGCACCATAGCCTGGGGACATAGCGTCATGGCTCGGAGGGGACACAGCCTTATAGCCTATGTCGAAATAACCCATCCTACAAAAGGTCGGCAAGGGCTCCTTGACATCTGTCGTATTGGCAAAACGCTCGTTTAGTTTGCACAGGTTGTTCAGACCCCAAGCCGCTCTCATGACGGCTGCACGGCCCATACGACAGTTGCGCGGGTTGTTCGGGTCCCCCTTACTGCCCACATGACGTTGCACGGCCCATGTGACAGCTGCACGGGTTGTTCGGGTCCCCTAGCTGCCCACATGACGGCACATAAACAGCACTCCACGAGTATTGGAATTAGGATGAGCGAGACCAGATATCCTCGAGCTCCCTAGGTTTTCTGACGTCTTTGTATTAATATTTAAAGCAAATCTAGGGCAAAATGAATAATACATCGGACGATCCGGACGAACCCTGGAGATCCAAAGGGCTCCAAAAGAGGCAAAGGCCAACTTTTGTCACAATCGGTGTCGAGCGGCCCTGCCCCTGTCGCTAACCCCACGCCACTGACCGCCGCCGTTCTTGTAGCAGATGTAGGGGAAGCGCCATACGTTGCCGAGGTCGACGGCGAAACCCGATGACAGCGAGCAGAAATTCGACCTTCTGTCCCAGGTCTCGCGGGTTGGGGCGGCGTCCGCTGCCTTGATCAGGGCGCCGGGCTCGGCTGCAGCGGCGGCGGCAGCGGCGGCGGCGGCGGCGGCGGCGGGCGGCGGCGTCGGCCGGCGGGCGTGCGCGTCGGCGGGGCCGGCCTCCGTGTAGCGCGGCCAGGGCACGCTGGGCCGCGGCGGCGGCGGCCGCGCGCCGGCGCCGGCCGCCATCGCGCTCAGCAGCGCGGCCGTCAGCGGCGCGCCCGGCCGCGGCGGCGCGGCGCGGCAGCGCCCCACATGGCTGCGACGAGGGCAGAGTCAGGAGTAGCGACGACGACCAGCTGTCCGCAGCGGGGTAAAGGTCAGGAGGTACAGCGGCGCAGATCAGGTCAGGTGGCGCAGCGGTACCCGCATGCCTGCAGCAGTTCTGAGGTCGGCAAGCGCAGGCGGTACCCTGCATGCCTGCAACAGGCTGGGGCCGGCAGGCGCAGGCTGTACCCTGCATGTCTACAGCAACTGGGGTCAGAAGCGCAGGCGCTACCCGCATGTCTGCAGGAGGCTGGGGCCGGCAGGCGCAGGTGGTACCGCCCCGACTACGGCAGCGCAGCGCACTGTCGTCTGGTATTGCATCAAGAAGACGTGTGAGAAGCAACGATTTGGACGCCTTGTCGTGCTAAGAAAACGATAAATGCTCGAAACTAATCTTGCCACCTGACCTGTATGAATCTAGCTCTAAATAGGATCTTTAGGCCGATTGAACTTGTCCAAAAGGTTTTGAATGTTGCTGGAGAAGGACTTCCCATAACTTCGTTTGACAGCCCATTGCAATGGTTTACTACTTTTTGACTAAATGGCATCTGCCTCTTCATAGTCCTACCACCTTTTGCTAACTGAAAATGGTTTCCTCTATGTCTCGGCCTCATTTCCAGTGTTCCATGTAGATCTGCCCTGTCTATCCCTTGTACTCTTGAATACCTCAGATCCCCTCTAAGTCTACGATATTTCGGTGAATACAAATCCAAGGCCTGTCACTATCTTTATATTGTAAGACACCAATCCTATTTAACATTCGATTGCTTTTCGCTCTACTCTTTCAAGCATGCTCATATCTATTTGGAAGCATGAAGACCAAGCCTGTACACAATACTCCAGTCGTGGTCTGACATCAGCTAAGTACAAATTTTGACAGCATTCCTTCTCTTGTAATGGACACGCCTGTTCCCGCATCCGAAGTGCCTTGCTCCTAGCAGCCGCACATTGTTTTTCAGTCATTAAGCGTCTCTTGTCTCGCGCGTGAGCTTTAGCTGGAGCGTAGCGAGTTTTTACAAATGCAAACATATATGCCTTGATTCGGTTGTGTTCGCTTGAAAAACTTTTATACTTTTTGACGCCAAGCAATTACGTCGTCCACGCAAAGCGTTATCCAGCTCCGACGGCCAGATTTCACCTAACAAGATCCAACAGGTTGATGCAGTTACAGCAAGTTGGTAGCAATGCTCGCTGAAGCGCGAATGATGGTGTCGGTCTGATTGTGGCGGCATAATCGAATGTGATCCCTTATCTGCGGTGTGAAGCAGGCGAACGTTTCTGTCTCACCGGGCTTCATCGGGAGGCTGCTAGGCTTGACGCCATGCTGAGAGTGTTGGTGTTGCGCACTCTATAACATGTGCGTGTGGTATGCTGTCGTGAACAGTGCATTCGCGTGGAAGTTAAGTCTGACAGTCAACATCAGATTTTAGATGTAATTCTGCGTAACACGGGAATAGATGAAGTAAAACGTTTAACAAACTGACTACATGCTTTCTTGCACGTCAAAATAGCATTGTTAGCTTTCCACGCCCTATCCGGATAGCGGTTTTTCCTGAAATACTTGATAGACATACCGTTTTGTTACACGAAACCAAAACAGATATTACACGAAACCAAAACAGAAACCCCCAGGCTGATACGCTGAACTGAGTAAGAACGCTGACTAATTAGGATATAACTGTTTTCTGTTTGTTTGCTGAGGGCGGGGGCGGAGAATCCCCATAATTACGTCTTGAATCAATAGCTGAATAAGCCGGTTTCAAAAGTCAGGAACTACCCCTGAATCTTGTGATCTCCATCAAAATAGATTTTTGTTAAACTAACGAGAAATGTGTTCATAACAGGTAGCGACGACCCTCACCCCTGCACTGTTCGTTTTTCACGTAATCATAGCGCGGAGGTTTGACGACGGAAGCTGCATAGCAGTGGCATATTCTGTCAGCCAACAGAAATGAATTGAATCGCGCCGTCCACACGCGTGACGCTCCGTAATCAAACCATTTTGAATAGAGACGCGCTCGGGGCGGGGTGTACCGAGAGGCTTGCATTTTAAGGGTCTACTGGGGTGGCAGTTTTTCGTTGTTTCTTTGGGACACATCAGAGGTTCTTCCATACATTTATACTTTTTGGTGTAATACCACGCGCAAATGCGCGTCCAAACCTAGCAAACAGAGTGCACACATCCCGTACTTTTTGAAGTACATTTGCGAGGAAGATTATGCATCTATATATAAATATACCCATCTCTCCATTCTCCTGGATATTTTATGAGGAAAAGGCTATTAATACTGTCTTATTTGTGTACATATTCCGTTTAACTTCTAACCGCTTACCTCAGCATAAAGATTTGTAGGCGGCGCACCCTAAAACGCTTCACCCCAACATGAGGTGCATAAAGATATGTAAGCGACGCATCCTAAAACTCCTCACCTCAACCTCAGGTATGCCGCCATAGTGAACATTAGGCGTCTAGAGGCGCGACTCGTGAGCCAGCAGGCCCGTAAAGCGCTGTTCCATAGAGCTTTATAAGAATGGCAGTCGCTGGTATAACAATAGCACCTGTAGTCCTGAACACATGACGACCGTACAATTATGGGAAGGGACATGGTTATACTAGTGGGTACGGGTCAGAAAAACATTTGCTTAGCAAGAACCTGAGGTGTACTTTCCTATTCAGTTAGGGGAGGGGGACTCCAGTCCCATCTCAGAAATGGGGTCGAACCCGTGGAGAAATCAGCCACGCGGGACCCTCCGTTGTTATCGGATAGAGCCTCAGTGTTCCTTCGTGTGATCGCTTAAAGGTTCCTCGTTTAGTTTAGGGTACGGACTAAGTGAGAGAGAAAAGGTCTTTTTCGCAGATATGTCCTTATTTACTTCCCTGTTTAATAGGTGCGTCCCTACGCCCCTATTGCGCGTCCCAGCAAGTGATGTTTAACACTAACAAATTGTGGAAGTTATCCTATCAGTCAAATATCTATGATCTATCAATGCTACTAGTTACACGCAGAGCGGCAGGTGTGCCAAACATTCCGGATAGGGATGTGGCTGTATATGGTAATCGGTACTCGTTCAGGGTCAGTGCCATTAATGAAGGAAGCCTTAGCAGAACCGGGGGCGCCATCGTGGAAATGAAAGGTGTACATTGTTGCCTGCGGGAAAATATGTTACGGGTGGGCCGTTCCCCACGTTACTACCTAGTTTACAGCATGTCTGAGTCGTGTTTTAAGCGGTGCCTGAGCTGAAGCAATGTTAAGACACGCGCCGGGTGGCCGGTTGGATAATATTTGCTCGTGCGGGGGTCAACTTGACCCCCTGAGACCTCAAAAATTACGAGGCACGAACACCAAATTCACAGGGTGTGTTGGCATGAACGTGAACTCACTTGATCAAAACTTTGTGTTTATAAGTCATGGCCTCTGGGTCAAATAAGGTCAAACAAGGTCAAGCTCCAGGTTTTTGTCTTAAGTACCCCCAGAACCTAGATAACTGTTTTAAGTAAAAGGTCGCTGATGATCATTTAAGGTCGGGGACCTTGTTTAATCTTTCGAAGGTCATGGTGTCTAGAATCATACCAGACTGCTCTGGATTCTGCATTTGAATAAGCGTCAAAGATGCCACTACGCAGTACGCTCCTAAAACAAGATGATGATATGGGTCATTTTAGGTCAGTGAACTATTCTGACGTTTAAGAAGCCCATGGGATATGCATAATGCGCTTCCTGTCATCGACAAATTCAAAATGAGCACCAGGGAGTACCCAATACAGCAGGCTCTAGAGTAATTAAATAGGTTGACCTTACCTTACCTTAGTCTGACCTTCATACCTGACCCTAAATCAATGGAATTTGCTCATGCAATTGTTGTGTTGGCTAAGAAACTCGCTTAAAGATGTATGGCTTCGTCTAACACCCCGTTGCTGCATCAGATTGAACGATCCCCTAGAAATTGTCTTCGATGGATCCATGACCTGACTCTGATCTGCTAGAGGTCAGCGACCTTACAAGGTGCATCTAAATTTTTACACCATACAATCCGCTATTTAATTTTCTACAGTTCCGCAAAATTTGGCGCGGCCCCGCCACGCCGTTCGGACCCTATTCCGGAAAACCTTTGGGGGGAGGGGGGTCGAATCGGCCTCACCCGAGTGCGTGTTAAAACTTCACCCGTATCAAAATTATTGCGCGTTGCTGAACATGCTGCAGCCTGTTACCTGCACTGGTTCGTCTCCATTCGCAGCAGTAAACGTACACCCCAGCCTGCTTACCGCTCATCACTCAACGTTTGCTTGATGTGTAAATGTTTACTTACTGGCGCACACTACACGTGCAACGATGAGACGTTGCAATAACATGGTAAGCCAATTTCAGCGGCTTACGACTTGCCCACGGCATCCTTGCAGCCGGACACGAATCTTGGAACGCGATTTATGAGACGAAAACTCTAAACATTTCAACCACGCATTAGCTGTTCGTTTTCACACACAATGCTTGTCATGAATGGATTTTATGCTTCTGTAATCGGCATTGTGCACAAAGAGTGCTTTTCACGCTTTGGCCTAGAAATGATTCGTTCTATCGAATAAAAACACATTTTTGGAAACCGTCTCCGATCCCAAACTTTTCCTGCAGTTAATGACATTGAAAACAGAGGACGCGACATAAAAAGGTCCATATTCCCGTTGCGTCCCAGAATTTGTGCTGTCTCCCCAAGCTCAGGCCCTGGTCTTGCATAGGAACTGCGGTTGATAGCATTCATGTACGTGATGAGCACTTCTGCGTAAAGTTATGAGTAACCTGGCACCGCCTGAGGCATTTTACCATCCCCAACCGCAACCGCCTGGGAGGAGGGTAAAGTGGCGACACATTTTACTTCAAGGGTCGGCGCCACGGACTTTGTTCAGGGGCAAGATGCATTTCAAACCTAACATTCTTTTGAGACGAAAAACTCGCACTTCGGACGCTTTGCTTTTGAGAGCCGAAGGATGTTGCTGATTTTGTTAGCAGAGTTATCAGACAGTGCAATCTTGTCATTATGTTTGGCGTACCTGTCCTACAAACCATGGTTTATCTATGCCTATTAATCGACTACATGGAGTATACCATCGAGGATCTATGTGAGAAACCGTCTGCCATACACACAACACCGGAGACAAGCTACAGCGAACATATTATCGTAAGGATTGGAATATTGTGACCACTTGCATGACGCATTCGCCTGGCAGTGTGGCTTTGCATACCAGCACTTGCTTAATTTATTATTGTGAGACTGTTCTTTGTTCCGGAATAAGACCGGTTGACCGGTTTCACCCTCACCGACCCAAAACGGTTGTGAATGTGTCAACTCAGGATCCACAATACAGCTGACCTGCCCTTGCGGCCACTTTGGGCCTGTAGGTCCACAATGCGTGAGACAGCGGGCTTTCTTCCGCCTTTGACGACCAGCATTTGGTTTTGCGGTCGTTCAGAAGAAGCAACTATCAAAACTGGACAAAAAAACGAGGAAAAGACGCGGTTTGGCTTAAAACTGTCAACCCCCTGCCCGACACGGAAACTCTATAGTTATACGATCGATGTGGTGTATCTGTAGTTACAATCCGAGCTGTGATGCTGGGCTTAGATGTTTATTACATGGGTATCTGTTGCGTTTGTGTTTGCTTGCATTGCCGGCCCCTTATGGGTTTTCGAAGTGCGTTGTGCAGTGGGAAAGACGTTCGACCGAAAAAGTGGCTGCCCTAATCCACATCAAGCCTTACCGATGATCCATCCGTATTCAAACGTCGAGGTAAGTACATGTCCAATTAGCACCAAACAATAATCACAAGATAGTCCTTGCCACTTGTGCAAAGCCTATCAGCTATTGCGATTAAGCCAATAATACTGGAACCTCTGGAATCACAATGGGCAGACGTCGGCCCCAAAGGCAGCAAACATGACACGCGTATGGATAGGGACATTATAGGAATCAGTTGTCTCTCGTGTTCAAACATGCTTGCGAGCATCGAACATGGGATGCTTTAGGTTCAGTTACAAAAATTATACCAGGAACATCTTAACAGCGATTCCAACACCGTTGGAAAGTGCATGTGCTAGAATGGACAGATCTCAGCGAATATTCTCTCAGCGTCTGCTTGCCATTCGTAGTAGGAGGCCCACACCATCTTTCCCGAGCCGCCTGCTTATTTCAGTGGATGAATTGTTTCTGGAATCAATATTGCCTTCATGCACGGCACAGACCCTGGCAACTCATTCCCTGTGTCGAAACACGCAGGTTTTGACTGTGAAAGGGACTAAAACAGCCTGCAACATCTTTCAATACAGGAATATCACGCGGCAGATTTAAGGAGGGATACATATATACACATTTCTACATTTCATCCATCATTTATGGCCTTTGTCTCTTGATGCGGAAAACCGACACAAAACGTGTACCTGTTTTCCAACACTCCTCATATATGGATTCCTCTTGCTTCAAATGAACGTCTGAATTGAATGTGGGGGCCTGACTGAGAGGGTCTCCTGGCTGAAAGGGTCCCCTGAATGGAAGGGTCCCCTATGGCCCAACTTGGGCTCTCCTGAGCGAAATCCTGGCCACGCCATAGATATGCAGAAGTGAAACTTTCCAGAAAATGTCAGGAATACAACTTAGTTTTTGGGCTTACTCTTTCTATGAGCCGCAATGGACACTATGCTGACTTTCTGATATGTGGGGATCCAGCGGAGCCTGCAATGAGCAGTACAGCTACACCCATGCTGATGTGGCCTCCTATAGCGCGACTAACCTTAAATGACAGTCATCCGGACGACGAATTGCACTAAAACAATCCAAATGAAAAATATGACTTCAAATGTGTACGAACGCGAGTGTGGGGAAAAATTCACACGCAAACTCTCTCTGAAGACACCGTAGTTCAGTAACCTGACCAGGCCTTGTAATGGTTTGCATCCCACACTGTGCCAAGCTGGTTATCTGACAAGCCCTGAAAATTTGGTCGCCCTACCTGGTATGTTTGGGTGTTGATTGTCCTCCTCCGCAGCTCGGAAGGGGCACTTTTAGTCCCCTCTGGCGGTCACGGGTCAAACATTTACGTCGTAGGAGGGAACTCCTCAGGCTAGGGTCGTCATATCGCTTCGGGCTCAAGGTGTCTGGTGTGCACGGCATGGTGGGTCTGATGTAGTGCGCGTAAGACTGATGTCGTACTTTTGCATTATTGAAGGGGGGAGGGGACAATCCTGAGCCAAGACTTCCACATCCATCTCCCGATTTCTAGCCATGACATGCATTAAGGTGATAGCGGGCAATCGCTGATGCACGGAACCAATGAGTATCCGACGACCACCGCTGCCGGTTGGAGCAGAAACGTGTCTTCTTGGACCTCCACATTATATCTGCGCATGGACAGCCAGGTCGAGAATAATAGAACGAAGTGGCGAACATGAACATTCGAAAACCACTCCATGCAAGCAGATGAGTCTGCAATAGGCTAATATTATTTATACTCTTAAATCCTGTTTCAATCACGTGTAGTATTTATAAACTTTTGTCTTCGCTGTCATGCTTTTTTCGTACGGTGCGAATTGAAGTGGTTAGGCACGAAAACGTAACTTAGATGTTGTCTGCTCTAGATGATCCGAACCAAACCTTATCATCACGAGAATTGCGAATTATATCACCATACGTATTCTTAACCCCGCACTAAACGCCCTACGTTTGCTGCCAGTTTTGCAGTTCCACGACCATGATTAACATTGGAATGTGGCCCAATCGTTGTCATCCAATCTCGGAGATTCTAGTATTTTTTACATGCCTTAGAATGCCATCGAGCATCTGACGTAGGTCAAACCTGATTCATGAAAATATGACTGTCTCCAAGGCGGTTTTGCACGAAAATCACGCGCTTCCAACATTACGTCCTTGG